GTAAAACCATGGAAACAAAGCAAGACACTTTGTTCAATTTTTCCCTGTTCATTTGTGCGGCCTCAGAGATCATGCATACAAAAAATGTAGAGGACTGTCTGTGTTCTTCATAAATTACAGGGATCATTGTAAATCATTACGGAAGTATACCGACTGTATTTAAACATGGACAGCATTTTCACTATAAATTGTGAGGACGTTAATTTTGTACAGTTACCGTTACATGAATTTACCCAAATGTCATCTCATCTACATGTACATGTATATATTCATAACCCTTTTACATGTACATGTAGGATTGCTATTACAGCCAAAATAAACACAATTTTCTTGGTCTTTAAGATACTTAATACATGTAATGTTCGTAACGTGGACAGAAACTTTGTGACAAATTTCTGTCCATTTACACTCGTACATTCTGAACATAATACCCTGTGACATCTTAAATACACAGTAGATTATCTTGGTTTTTACAGTTAAAAATGCTTTAGGGATAAGAATGAAAAGGCACAGTATTTTGCAGTTTATTTTCATTACAACTTGCTATCAACATTAACAGACTTTTTTGCATTGATGTTATACGTAACATTCTGAGAATACCCGGTACATATTTTGTAAAATCTGCCTGGAAAGTCTTAAATTCTTGGTGAGCACAATCCTCAACAACGGGGTGGGAATGTACATGGGGAAAAGAGGACAAACAACATGATACTGGTACCTTTCCCAAAGTTTTCCATGTCACACATTTGTATCCCTTTTATAGTCGGGAATAACCCACTTATAAATTTGTACATGTACATGTACATGCACATGGTGTGCCGGTACGTGTACGAGCCTTTTTGTGCAGCGTGTTTTTTTTCCTTAGAAATTCTAAAACGTCCATTTATATGTATGCACACTGAGTTTTATATTACATCCCCTGGTCATGGACGCAGTACCCGAAGTTGTCTCCATTCGGCAGTCCGACGGACAGATACAGGACTACGCAACCAACCCTTTTGATCGGAATAGAATTTCCGAATAGAATCCATCGTCGAACGCGCCCGCTTTAATTGCTTCATTTGCCCCGTTTTGCCCGCTCCGCCGTTTCCTGTTATTTCACTGGGGATGTTTCCATGGCAACACAGGCACTGTCCTTATTTGTGCGGATCCGAATTGATTCTCCGCTCTGCTTTTTACACGTAGACATACCTGTAGGGTAGAGAATCGTCAAAAAGAGGGAACGCTGTATGTACATGTGTCAGGTGGATTTTTCAAGCTGCATGAACCCGTACAAGGGATTCCTATAATCACGTTTTCCTCAGAATTCTACATCGGCATTTTAGATTTGTAATAATTCTGTCTGTCTGTCTGTCTGTCTGTCGGTCGGTGTGTCCGTTCTGATCATACCACCCTTGTGGGGTGATGTTCCTTTCAGGACACATCACCCCACTATTTTCACAACAGAAAAACATCACCCCAGAAGAGAATCTTTAGAAAAAGGGATAATGGGAACACAATGCTATCACCCCACAATTCCGTCTGGCTGGAACGTCCGTATACATGTCTGTCTGTCTGTCTGTCTAGCCTATTTCGCTCCACTGCAGGAGAAAAGCCTCTTCACCAATTGTCCATCTCACTCTATCTTGAGCTGTCTGTTGCCATGCAGTGCCACTATGTGTTCTTAGTTCATCCCTCCATCTTCTGTTTTGTCTCCCTCTTTTCCTGGTTTGGTTTCTTGGAGTCCAATTGGTGGTTTTGCATGTCCACGGGTTGTCAAACCTCCTAATAGAGTAGTAATTAGAATCAAGCACTTCCTACATATATTTTGTGTCATTTAAAGTGGCAGTGTGCCAAAAAAAAGAGGAAAAAATTGAGAACTATATTCATACCAAGTTTCATGTAGATTTTGGTTTTAAAATAGTTACAATTGTACATGTACATGTGTACAATGTATCGGTACTGCAGGTACATCAAATGGTACATGTACCGGTACATATTAGAGGTTGGATATTTCTGTATTTTTTTCAGATTCGTAGATATTTTCAAATCCTAAATGAGAAGCTATTATAATATCACTCTTTATTTTTTCCTTTTCAGTTCAAAAGTTTATATGGAAGAATTAGAATTGCAGTGCAGTTTCTATGAGTGCCTGTTTTAGGCACTGTACCATACAAACTCTATGTGTATACACCCATACTCAAATTTGTATCAGCGAGACATCGCTTTGTTCTCGTGTACAAAATCCTGAGAGAGTCGAAAGCTATTTTCAAAATGCTCCTATTTTAACCAGAATTACTTTCCTGGTTTGAAATTCTGACCAGATATTCCTTACATAAAATACATTACTTTAATTTGCAACAGATAAGTAGGCCTATACCTTAAAAATTCTTAGTTTTTGAGTAAATCAATATACAGTATCTATTTTGTGAAATCCTTGTGGAGACCCACCGATATTCACCTTTAGAAATTGCCTTGTGGAGACCTTAACAATCTTTTGTTCCGTATCATGCCCGGGTCTCCACAATATCTTTCAAAACATGAATACTAATGAATTCATAGAGTTTTATGAATATTGTATCAGAAAATGTACATGTTCATTCCAAATACATATAATTTTGATGAATTTTTTTTTTAATATAAATTTGCAGATGATTTTCATAATTTGCAGGCTGCAGCTGTCACTTTTTCCTGGTCCAATCCAAACAAGGAAAGTGTTAGTTCCTGTCGTACTCTGTCGCGCAGGTGTTCCTTAATGCACACAGTCATACATTGTATGTTTGCGTATGCTTCGTCTGCCCCTCCCGTAATAATATAGAATAGATTTCAAAAGTGAGTTGAGAAGGGCCGACTTGTTTGCTTTATGCAGATGCTCGTTTAAAGATGTACTCTCCATACTATTTTCGAGTTTTATTCTGAAAAAAAAAAAAAAATTCATTAAGGCAAAAAACAAATTTTTTTTTTTGGTTTTTTTTTTTTTCCCTTCAAGCTTGGATTGTACAGACAAGGTGGGGTACTATTTTGCTTTTTTGGTGTCCTCATGTACATTGGTGTCCTCCATAATTTGCCTTGGTGCTCTCGATCATTTGCCTTGGTGCAATTTCCCATTCCTTGGTGCTCTTTGGTGAAAGAAAATGAGGAGGTGCGGCAATAGAGGGCGCTGTTGGAGCCACCGCGGAACATTTTGGGGAAAAAAAAGATTGACGCGCATGATTAAAATAGATGCGCGCGCTGACCAGAGACCAACTTATTTTTTTTGTGGCTAAAATAGCTGTTTTTTAAGCAAAACAAAAGTTATTCACTTACATACAGCATGAGACATTGAACAACAAATCTACACAAGGTTACAATGTAGTTATGGACTAAACACTTTTACAAAAATTTCAAATTATTTGTTGCCCGACATAGTTTACATGTAGTTCACGCAAAAACAAATGTACCAGTATATTACCTTTAAAGGGAATGTACAACATTTGCTTTTGCTGCGATTTTCAGAAATAAATGGATTTGGAGGATTAGTATGTTATGTAAAATATTGTTAAACTGACTTGTTTCATGTTTTGGGCTTGTTGATGCTGGAAAAACCAAGAAAACCTATCATGTTCTTGTAGTCTGGTTCCCTGACCCCACTTAAGATGAAACGAAGCAATTAATACACTTTAGGGAATTGTAAGGTCAGAGAATCAGTCTAGCAGGCTTGTACCCCTTCACAGGTGTGTGATCAATGCAAAGAAAAGTCAGAATAACTAAATATGAAAAATTATGAACAGTTTTTGAAAAAAGCCAGTTTTCTCCAACGCTGGTCGGCCGACCAACGTTGGAAAAATACAGTTTTTCTTGAAAATGTCAGCCCACCAGGAGCCACGATTTTACAGGATGCTTTAGACTGTCAGTCCCTAACAATTCAGTAAGGTATTTTGTGATAATTTGATCATTTCATTTTTTGATGTTTGCAAATGTTGTATCTTCCCTTTAAAGAGTAGATACGGTATTACAGCTTAAATATTGACTTGACAACATCTTGTTTAAAATTTATATTTAATTCATTCTGTTCAGACTTATAATACGTTGTGAGTTTCAGTCTGAGAAAAGAAACACCCCCATACATGTGCGTGTGAAATACATGCATGGACATGTGTGCTTTAACACATTTGCAAGGAGAGCTACATGTACATGTACATGTACATGTACTGAACTTGTTAAAATATTAAATTATATGCAGAAGTCCATGTTGGTTGGATTATTTCTTAATTACGAAACGTGCGAAGGACATGAAGAAATGTGTGAAGGTTGTTTAACATGTACACAGACCAATCATGATTCTGAAAGTGGTACCTGCATTGTGTTAAAAAGCAAAGCTGTGAATATTGTATCTACAAAAAAAAAACCCAAAAAAAACTAATGGGTGAAAACGAAACATGTCATCACTTTAATTCGGATTGAGAGGGTTTTAAATATTCATACGCCTCTAGGTACTTTGCGTGCTACCTTCTGAAACTGTTCAATGTTTCCCTGCGTATGCACGTCGGAATTCCTTGAAATCAATCGCGATCGATTTTGGCCAGGGAAGCCAAGAAATTGGCCAAGTCTTTTCCAGGAATTCTGCCGCAGGTCATGATACAATCTCTGTATATCTTTCTTCTTGTGAGTGAACGCTAGTCTCCCTTTTTTTTAGTTTGCTGTTCCAAGTTTTTTTTAATATGACAAGACAGAGAATTTGATGTTAGCAGTGAGACATCGAACACTTTTTCATAACGATCTTTGTCATGTTTGTCTGAACAGCATTGATTGAGCTCAGTTCGATTTTGTGCTGTACAATTTTCCAGAGATTCGCGGAGTCCAAGATATTTCTCAAAACAGCTTCGGCAAGGACATTTTTTATTTTTTGATGGAGCGAGACACCAATTACTTGGATGCCTCTATAGGGTTAACAGTATTTTGCCATTGCTATAGCAACAGTTTCCGGTGATATTGTAGCTAACAAGGAAATCTGTGTGTGTTTTTTTCTTTCTGGTTTGCAGGGGATGTCCGTGTTAAATCCAAGCAGCTGGTGTCGCGTGCTGATGGCAGGAGAAGTTCCCTTCCCGACAATGAATACAAAATAATTGAAGGTAAGATGTTATTAGTTATCCCACGAATGCGAGTGAGACACAAGGGCGGATCCAGGGGGGGGGGGGGCCAAAGGGGGCCATGCCCCCCCCCCACCCAAAACGAGACAAATTTTTTTAATTTTTTTTATGTGACATCGCAATAAAGGCAGGCAATGAGTACACCACCATCTTTTCCTCAAAAAAACATTGGATAAAGTGGTCAGAAATTGCCTCAGATCGCACCACAGAGCATCTAGAATCCAAAAAAATTTCGGGGCCCTTAAGCGGGCCCCGAAACCCACGTCGTAATTTTTTTGGCCCACTTTTTTGGGGGTCCAATTTTTTTTTGGCCCCCCCAAAAAATTGTGTTCTGGATCCGCCCTTGGTGAGACACGGAATAATAATAGGAAGGTGTAGTGCAAACGAATGGAGTACGCGCGCGTGTTGGTTCGCGGTCTGAATCACGCGCTAATGTCTTTCACACTCATTTTGTGCACGTGACGTATTCACTTCGGCACTCCATATGATAATGTAGCATGTTTTGTTGCCATGGATCGACAAATCAGGATCTAGGATTCAAGTTTGCTTGAAGATAATAAAAACAGGAAGTCAGCATAGCCATAACCAACTCAAATGTGACAATCTAAACTAGACCAGGAAAGGCTAGACAAACTGGTCCCAGAGTGCAAAAAATTCCGTTCAATTAATTCAGAATGGCTATTCACTGGAAGTCCGTTTGTGCATCTGGTCTACATAATGGGCCGGATTGAGCCCATTCATTGGTGTAATGAGGTAGTCCTATACGATAGCACTGCCCGGCTCTTTTCACCAGCTTACTAGGCTGGCCCTCTGGGACCAGCAAAAATAACACTTACATGTAGATTACAAGGCATATAGGATCATTTGGGCAATTCCACGGTTACTCATGTTACGAAAATGTAACGTGAGTAACCGATTTTGTGCGTCTTGTTTATCATACATAACACATTTTTCTGGATGTCATCTTTGGTGCTTAGGTAGGTCTAGGTCTACTCTATCTACCATGGGGGTAACAGTTATTAAAAACTTTCCGTAAGGTAATTACAGCCCAAGGAAACTCAAAAGTACATCAAAAATGTAACGTGAGTAACCGTGGAATTGCCCATTTGCTTTTCATGCATTTTGTTTGTTTCTTGTAAAAACGTCACTGAAAATCCAAAGAAGACTGTTCAAAACCTAACCTGCTGAAGTTTCAGCTCGGTGAATATATACACAAAATGTAATACACTTTTTGAGCAAACAGTGAAAAACCATGCACAACCTTTTGATCACGAAACACAAGTTTACCTATAGCCATGATAGCATTCTTAAATTCCAAAAATTAGTCAATTGACTGACCATTGGAAATCACCTACATTTCGTGATTTGTACTAAATTTCAGCAGTCCAGATGGAATCATTTCACGGAATGTTTAGTATTATACAACACCTGAATAAATCCCCGTCATCTGATTGGTGGATCGTTGATCACATGTCATTGAATTATTCGTACCAATGCACGGCATGCGCGTGGCGCGCAGCGCACAGTGCAATGGAAGAACTATTGCACTGTGATTAGAAGTACCATTGCACTGTCACTGCACATGTTGCCGATGGTGGTGCTGTGGTGTTTAAATTGGCAATAAAAGTTCTGAACTTATTGAACTGTTTGAGTTCTAAACTTATGGAAAAGTTTTAAATTGAGAAAAATTGAATATGATAACTCTGAACTCGTCAAACTTGTAAACAATTTTTAACTTGAATAAATTGGCTATTAAAAGTCAACCAATCAGATGACGAGGATTTATTCAGGTGTTATATAAAACAAATAATGAATGTTTCACGTTCATGCAATGGAAAGAACAATTTCATTCGGTGACAGATGAAATGTTTCATTCCACACGAGGCGAACATTTCATCTGTCACCTCATGAAATTATTCTTACCATTGCACTCACAAACATTCATTATTTGTATACCAGTACAATCTTTAATCCAAGTAAGCATTTTGATAATGGCGCAGTCCCTTAAAAACAAAAACAAAAATTAAAGATGCACTCAATGTCAATGCTAACTTGAAACTCATCTATTCATTCATCTGTTTTTATTTGATTTTGTTTGATTTGCCAGCAATTGACAACAATATAAGACGGACCAGTTTGCAGCATTCCAGAGGATTGAGCTTGCCAAGGGTATCGTACCTTCAACCAACCAACACCAGGTCACGTCGATCGATCGTACCAGAATCCTCGTCACATCTGGATACCTGGTACTGCGGACAGGCAAACGTAAGTTAGTTTTTGAAATTTTTTTTGTTAAGCTCTGGCAGCTTCTACATGTCACTTGGTCTGTCTGTCTGTCTGTCTGTCCCGAAAATTGACCAAAAGTATGGTGTTCCATATGTGCCATCAGCGTCACATTTTTGGGCGTCACATTTTTAAGCTCTGGCAGGGATCATTTTGATCGATTTCATTGCAAGACTTTCATGCAAGACTTCTTGCAACACGGCCAGAGCTTACTGTGCACTCGCAATTGTTTGGTTTGTGACTTAAAACGCACAACCTTCATGCCGGTGCAGATGTCTTACAACTTGTCCACCAAATGCGCCTGGGTCAGGATAATGCCACTTTCGTCTTATAGACCTTATTCATGAGGAAGTACTTTTTGATCGTGTTCTCTGACTGTATTTTAAAGAGGTGCAGCGTAGTATAAGTGAGTCCTGTTTATTACGTCACGATTTACTATGTTCTGTTCGCTGCCCCCCAACGACGACTTTTACACGAATTGCACGTTCGGGTCGAAACAGGACCTGAAAACAGCTCTCAAAAGTACCTTTTGTACTCATTTCATGACAGACACAATAGTCGTTTTTATTTCATCACACCTTAGGCTACATATATACCCGAAAAATGACGGAAATGTCTTTGAGCATTCCACAACCTCTTTAATTAAAGTCACACAAGTTATATTCAGTTGGGATAACAAGTGCCTGTTTTCTGTATGGTACTCAATCTCTTTTGTTCCGAGAAATTTCTTCGACTTAGGCAATTCTTTTCCCTTTGGAAAAACAGTTTAGCCCCAAAATATGCCTGTTTCTCCTGTTTTCCCCCTCCCCCTCCCTTCAAACAAATCACTGGATATCTGTTTGTATTTAAACCGTTTAGTAGCTTAGGTCCACAACATAAGTAAATATCACATTCTAGGGCCCCTCTTTAGGCATTTCATTCCCCGAATCTCCTGAGTATTTGCAGCACTATTTGTTCCTTCATTTACCGGGCATGTACGCCCGGCGCTGTTGTGCTTGCGTTCACGTCTTGTTTTGTCTGACCCCGCGGCAATGTGATTCTTAGGCGCCAGACCGTAAAAACAGCAGAAGTCAAAACACACAAAAATCAATTTCTGACGGTAACTAGAATGTTGTTGGACCGTTGCAAATTGGCTGCGAGGTGTTTGCACGTGCGACATAGACCCGCTAGTCAAATTGCCCATTAAGTGGGTCTTTTGTTTTTTCTTGGCAATGCAAAAAGACGTAGATTGATGCGTGAAGGACACCAGAAGTGTTTACTTGTTCTTTTGCAAAATGTAAAACATTCCATGGATCGTGAATTACATACATGCACCGGTACATGTTTGTGAACAAATGTACTTGTACATTGTCGTTGTATTAGCATGTTCATTGTTTTGTTATTCATAACTCAAAAATATAAGGCCGAGTAACAAAATCATACATTTGCAATACCCGGTATATATTGCACGTATATTTTGTCAAAATATTATCTTTTTATTTGTTTCCAACAAACTTGTAGTTACAATGTAGAAAGGGTTATGGCTCCTTTTGTATCAGCAAAATTGTCAAGAAAATTGAAGAATCCGTTCGCCATCTTGGAAAATCCGCCATCTTGGGCAAAAAGAAGAGAACCAAAAAAAGCACCTGCCTCCTTCATTTTTTCAAAAAACCAGGACAAGAAACTACTTTAATTTGTTTTTTTACTCGGCCAAACAATGTAACATTTGTTTAAATATGTTATGCATTTTTCAAAAAATCTGTGTTCAAGATCTTAAAACAAGGCATTTCTTTCCTCAAATATTATGAATTTCTGTTTTGTGGACACCCTTCCCCCAAGAAAGAATAACAAGCTCTGCAACAATCAGTTGCAGAGCTTGCTACTAGCGCAGTTTTGTAATGTTGTTATGAATAATGAAATCTGTGTTTACGACGGGGAAAAAAAAAAAAAAAGGCATCAAGTTGTTTTGATGATGTGAAATTTTGATTCTCTAACCACCCCCCCCCTCAACCCTGAAAAAAATTGATTGTAACAATCATTATCCAGTTGCAGCATCTCTTTTACACAATGTTTTTGTTATGAGTTCTTACTTCTACGGCTTGCTTTCTTCCAGTCAGTCCCACAGACCTCCTGGGTGAATTTTTTGGGGGTAACAATGGAAACCGAAGAGTTGTTTTATCTTTTTACTTGGAAATATTTTTCCCTGCAGAAGAGAGAGATGGCCTTGAGAACGATAGTTGAAGTTGATAACGCGACTTGAATTACGGTACAGCGGTTTGGAATCTTTATCAATCAATATTGAGAAATGCCTCATACCGGGAGTTCGTGGTTTCTGACACGTCTGCAATTTTGATGGAATTTTGATGGAACGGAGCCAAAACTTTGTGAATAAAATCCAGGCACAAGATCTCTGTACCTACGCACGAAGCCCCCTTCAATGGAGAAACCATTGTGCACGCTATTGTACAAAGCAACTGCCCAGTGGCAGATTATCTGAACAATAGCTAGCACAATGCTCTCGCCATTGAAGGGGGCCTTCGTGATAGAAGGGCTAGTGTACATGTATCTACATGTAGATTGGTCTATGGGCACTGTGCGCCAACAAAAGAGGGCGCGTTTTTACCACTTTTGAGAGCCCCTTGGACGGGACATAGCGTGTGCATACTGTACTGGTTCGCACGCAAAGTACGTGCGACTTATTTATCCTGATAGTGCACATAGTGTCTTCGCACGCAAGCATCAGGCGTCGTTGGCGCTCGAATACATTCGGAATTAATATGTGATGGGTCTCCCAGACTAATCCCTGCCCCCAATAACTTTGCATCATTGGAAATACGCAGTGGATGGACCAGGAACCAGTCTAGGTCTCCCCCAACTCTCCTTTTCTGGCCGTTGAAGGGGTACTTGTGCACGGAGCCCATAGAGAGACAGAATTAAAGCTATCATTTTGGGTCAATTTCCGTGGGCTAATTGGGAAAAATGTCGGGACTTCTGAGGATCAAGTGAGGACAGTGACATTTTCATTTTCTCTCCCACCTCAGTAACCTGACTTTCAAAACAACTTTGGCTTTTTTGTGTACACGGATATGACATTTCAGCCTTAGTAAGACTCACACAATTCCCTGACAAACTCGCAAGATCGCGAGATCTGTCGTGGGGTTTTCCACCTTCTGAAACACCTGGGAATTTCTCCATTAACTCTCTCCACCAATTTGCACCAGACTAGTGAGAGACACTGCCGTCGGCATTTTTTTTTCTTTGAGTAAACCCCGTTGACATTAGCTGTGCTATCTGTTATTGAATTGTTCCTTTTTGTTTTTCCCTTTTTTGTTTTGTTACAGCAACTTCTGAACAGACTATCTAGTTGGGATTTCAACATTTTCCACTTAGAGCAAGTCACAGGAGGTAAGATAATGAAGAACATTTCTGCTCTTTTTTCTTCTTCTATTGTGCAAGAACAAAACGAACGTACTTAATTCAACTGCAATTTTTATACCTTACGGCGTAGGGAGAGATCACATTTTCAGGTTATTGACTCGAACAGATTATCTTGAAAGTGTAATCAAGTTGAAAGTGTTGGAAGTCTGTGCTGTGCTTTTACGACTAAAATCCATTAATTACGAGTATTTGCCACAATTTATGGCCACTTCAGATCATTTCATTTGATTTAGTATGGTTTAATCAGGCATGCAACTTTTCCATGATCCGCTGATATGCTTGGTTTTTTTTGTTTTTTTCTCACGAATGCCATTAAAATTTGAATTGAATTAGCAATTACAAATACTGTTCAAAGTCTTGTGTGGTTTAGAGTTTCCACGTTTTTTTCTAAATTCCCAGTTGCGTGCCTGAAACTTCATCAGGTTAGTTGTTAAGCACCCGTCTTTAGAGTTGGAGCACTTGTGTTGCTTCAAACAAAGAAAATGCACAAATGATTATGTATTCTACCTTTAAAAGCCAAAAAATGTTGGCACAATTTCACCATTTTTCTACTAAATACATACATGCATATTTAACAGCTTTCAGCAAAAGTGGGTTGAAGGTTCTTAAAAAAAAGAAAGAAAATGTCAGAACAGAACCCCGCCGTGCATTTCAAAACCCAAAAAATGCCGGAATCTTTAGTGGCACAGCAGAGAATAAAAAAAATAAACCCCTCTTCCGGAATTGCAATTTACGGCTGGCTTGTCGAGTTTCATTTAGCGGGATGCCAACTTGACATCTTCGTCTTTTAATTTCCTCCCGATTTGCCGCGTCGGGCTCAGCCATGCGTAGCAGCTGGTAAAACAGGCGCACCGGGCCAAATTAAACTCACGCGGACAGGTGATATAATGGAATGGAATAGAAAAAAATGACGGCAGGTAAAGTGCTGCCCGCATTTAAGGAATTTAGCCGCTGGGCTCTGGGGAATAATCAATAGGCCTACCACTTTCAATTTTTCCTCTTCTATTTTTATGATTTTTTGTCCATGCCGGGATGTTGCAATTTTCCTACTTTATGCAGGACATTATTTTTGGATGAGGCTGATCTTTGTCTTTATGTAAACCTTTTAAGGAATCCACTATACAATTATTTGGTTTATATGAGTAAAGTCTCATTAAAAAATTCTGGAACAGTCGAGGACAGTTTTCTTTCCCGCAATTGGCAAATTTATCCCCAGTGGGTGCCGATTCCAGGGAAGTTGTTTGGAATCTTGCAACTAGTGACGGATACAGTGGGTATGTCGCGGATAAAATTGATGCAACTTATTAGAGATATTTCATGGAAAAACTCTTCTTGGACTTAAGCATTTTTTTTCCCCGACATGCATTTTGTTTAAACATGCACTCTCCTTTTGTTTCACAGGTATTTTCTCATCTTTGTTTGTTTTTCGAAACTTTTGTTTAGGTCATTCTTTGAGGTTTTTGGGCATGCAGCTCTTTCAGAAGTACGATTTGATCAACACGTTCCAGTTAGACCCTACAAATTTGTACAAATGTTTAGGTAAGTACAAATAAAATGACATATTTTTGGACACATAAATTCTGATTCATTGGTCAAGAGTTCGTCACGTGGCCGGTCTTAAATGGATGATAAAGACATGGCTGGCTGGTCTTAAACACTTATTCCAGTGTCACATGAAATTTGGACTCCTATGAAATCCAGTGCCTTTTACCGGTTGAATGTTCATAATCCTCACATACGCATGCGCACTACTACCAGTTAGTCAGTATTTCATAGTCCTAAATTCACAACGCACCACGACAGCTGCATTCTGCACGACATCATGCAATACAGCTGTATATTCTGAGAAAAACAGCATTCTAGGATCTCAATTTCAAATCAAAAGTTGCTGAATCATGTTTTGAATTGCGCCTGAATTCAGCGTTCGAGACACGTTCTCGCTCAGCCAATTACAGCTACGCGATGTCGCGCACTGATCCGACGAATTATAGCAACCAGGGGTGCGTGTGCGTCGTGCCAATGCTTGCGCGCGCTTCGCCGAATAGCAATAACGAACTACTAATTTAAATTTTCCTACGGTGCGTCTTAAGAAGCACCGTTGGAAAGGCCTTCTTTCGTTGATTACTTCAAAATGACAGCTTGCCAGAAAGAATAATTTCACAGGGAGTTTAGTCCCCTTACTATCTTTCAACCAAGTATGTTTTTCAACAATAATTACGCCAGCTACTTTTCGGATAGCTGCAAATGATGGACTATAGCTTTAAACCCTGCAAGCACAGTACAACATGACGTTAGTGAAGTTATTTCACATTTTCTTTATTTTTCTATACATTTAGAACTTGTACATGTACCTCTTACATATATATGACATGTTATTTCTGTAGAGTAGCCTGGACAGTGTGGCTTATTAAAAAGAACATTTTGGTAACAGTGAGTAAACCCTTTTTTCCCCGGACAGTTGCAATTGAAACTGGTTACCACAATGGGAATCCCTACCATAATGCATTACATGCTGCAGACGTCACACAAGCTATGTTTTGTTATCTTCAAGAAAAGAAGGTAAGCCTTCGTTGGCAACTGGTCAGTGATGTGATAATTTGACTTGTGATTGAATAATGATTTGACCTGTGATTGAATAGTGATTTGACCTGTGATTGAAAAGTGATTTGTCCTGTGATTGACTAGTGATTTTACCTACATGTACACGGTATGAGTGACTAGGATTTGACCTGCCAAATTTGTCCCCATTTACCGTACTCCATTTATTTTCTCATTTCAAAATTTCCCCCCCCAATCTTCAACAGCTTCGTGAGGCTCTGACACCTATTGAGGTCATGTCGGCCATCTTGGCCTCTGCGACCCATGACCTCGATCACCCAGGAGTCAACCAGGTGTTTCTAATAGCAACCAGTAATCATTTAGCAGGGTTGTATGGGGTGAGTTTCTGGCATATATGCTGTCATTCTTTTTATTTATTAATGATAATTTATGATCTTTGATTTTTCGATAATTTTAGACAAGAAATGTTTACCCTACTAATTTTTGTTTTGCAGAATTCCTCGGTGCTTGAGAACCACCATTGGCGTGCGGCGATATCAGTGCTCAGGGAGTCCAAGCTGATGGATCATCTGGACAAGAAATTATGGTAAACGAAGAAAAAATTTCGGGGTGGGGGGGGGGAGGTTCAAAATTTTGACACTCAAAAATCGAGCTGTTGAGTGCTAGTTGTTAACCTGCCGTACATGTTCCACCAGTGCATCGCATTCTGCAGATGTGCGACAAACAACATTTATGTATTGGTGCTGTGGGTATTAATGTGACACACACGCAACGTGTGCCGTACATTGAATGGACACGGCTGGAAATACATGCCACAAAATGTCTGCCGTGTCCGATGTAAACAACCAGGTTTTTCCGTCTTTTCTTGGGAACGGAAAGACATTAGGTTAGTTTCCTTTCAAGCAGACCTTTGAAATAGGATGAGTAAACAATCCAAAACATAAAATGTTTGGGGATTTCAGCCCCGAATGCCTCTTTTATGGCACTGCAAAGAAGTTTTTCTAAGTGTCGATAAAACAAAACTAGTAAAAGGACACAACATAACAGTCAACATGTACCTAAAAATTAGTAAAAATGGCCCTAGACCAGTTTAAGTTAGAGTGTTCAAAATTCTATGCAATTGATTCAGAATGGCTATTCACTGGAAGTCTAATCATGCATCTGGTCTACACAATGGGCCGGATTAAGCCCATTCATTGGCGTTACCAGGGATCCTATACAATAGCACTGCCCGGCTCACAAGTGACGGGGAGTCAGTCAGTCAGGGAGTGAGTTAATCGGTCAGATAGGTGCAGAGAGGACACAAGATTCTACTCACTTGATTCAGAATGGCATGTGGTCTACATAATGGCCCAGATTCAGCCCATTCATTGGCGTTACCAGGGATCCTATACAATAGCACTGCCCGGCTCACAAGTGACAGTCAGTCAGTCAGGGAGTGAGTCAATCAGTGAGATAGGGACAAAGAGGTCACAAGATTCTACTCACTTGATTCAGAATGGCGTCTGGTCTACACAGTGGCCCAGATTCAGCCCATTCATTGGCGTTACCGGGGATCCTATACAATAGCACTGCCCGGCTCAAAGTGACACTCGGTCAGTAAGTCTGTCAGTTCGATACGAAGAGGACACCAGGCTGGCTCTCTGGGACCAGCAGGCCGAATTTTCTGGGAAAATTTTTAATTTTTTTCAGTGTTGCTGTATTTCAAGTACATGTAAAACATCCTCTTGTTTTTTTTAACCCGATATGTAGGGACTTCATCGTTGGACAGATCAGTTCACTCATTCTAGCTACAGACATTGCCAGACAACAGGAATTCTTGCAGAATTTCAAGGTATTTATCGTTTTCCTTTTACTTTGTCGTCACTTTTGTTTTCACATTTTTCTTAGTCTTTCCTGGCCAGGCGTTTTGCTTCAACTCAAAAACAAGTTTAGTGATCATTAAATATAAACCTACTTATACTCCATAATGAATACTTTTTTGCAACTAAATGATAACTCATATTTTTGCAAATTTTTTAAAAGCAACCTAAAAGAAAAAAAAGAAAATGAACAATGATGAAAAAAAAAAGGTACTTTTAATACGAATAATGTGGAGTGTGTGGCCTAGTGGTTAGGGTTCGTGACTCGTGATCAGAGGGTCTGGGGTTCGAATCCAGCTGCTGGTCATATGTTGTGTCCTTGGGCAAGCCACTTCACCCCCACTTGCCTCTCTCCACCCAGGAGTATAAATGGGTACTGGCATTAGCTGGGGAGTAACCTGCGATGGACTGGCATCCCATCCAGGGAGAATAGAAATATTATCAGTCGTTTCATGCTTCTGAAACCGGAGATAAACGCTGGCCTGATGGGCCACATTGGCTCATGACAGACTTTACTTACGGTACTTTTAATACGAAAAATATAGCCAAAATCTTCACAGCCCAAAATAAAAAGTCAGCAATTATATGTATATATTTTAAATGAATTCAGGTATGATTGTTAAAGTGATGACATTCAAGAAATCATTTTTGGAATTGTGACTTCACTTTATATTATATATTTTTATTTGATAAAATATTTGGGACGAACACATTTTTAAATTTCAATTCCTCTCAATTTCTAGAATCACCTGAGTGCCAGTGACTTTGATATGAACGACGCATCACACAAGAACTTCATCCTACAGGTGAGGTTACCACCCTCACTTAAGCCCCGCCCCTAAAATGGATGAAAAAAAAATCAAATAATGGAGAACCAACACTAGAAGAAAAAAAAATAGTTTATTTATGCAGTCCTTGTTAAATGCACCTTTGTGTCCCATTGAACCTTATTTTCAATTTTCACTGTGCCATTTCAGGGCATTTTTGGTGCCTTTTTGGTTTGTTATGCTATTGAAAATTTTCACATGTATTCATGAGCAAAAGTGTGATGTCATTTCAGGCAAAAACATCAATCTTACAGCTATTTCAGCACCAAAAACTTGCCAGAATTTTGGATATTGTTTAGCGCTGTTGTAAATGTTCTGTTCTTTGGGGATTTGTAGTTGTTTCAGTACATGGCACGGGCCTATGGGCAAAGTTTTCTCACAAATGTTTTCAATGAGCAAAGTTTAGGTTCAAAATTTGAACAGAAAACCCCTAAACTGAACAGTGTCTTCCTATTCAAAGAACTGCACTTTTCAATAAGATTAACCTAATAGGGATGTCAAATATTTTTCATACGTTTGAGAGGAGTAGAAAGTTGCACAAAATATGTTCCCAAATAAAATTCATGTCATGAGCCCTTTAAATTAAAAAAACTACAGATTGTTTAAAAACAAATGTGAATTTTGAGCTGTACAATGTGTAAACTTCACTCAAGTAAACCTTTGAACCACGTCTGTTTATACCTCAATATTGGTCCCTACAGCGCCCTCAATGGTGCAAGAATAAGGCCTATTATGGCTTTTTTGTTGTCTTTCTAGATCGCGTTAAAGTGTGCCGACATCTGCAATCCGTGTAGACCATGGAATATCAGTAGAAGGTGGAGCGAAATGGTGACCGAGGAATTTTACAATCAGGGTTCGTTCAATTGCTGATCCAATCTACATGTATTTAAAGGGAAAATACAACATATGCAAACATCAAAAAATAAAACTACCAAATCATTTTGAAATACCTTGCTGGACTGTTAGTGAATGACAGTGTAAAGCATCCTGTAAAATCATGGCACCTGGTATACTGTCATTTTCAAGAAAAGTGGTATTTTTGTATCAATTTCCAACGCTGATCGGCCGATGAACGTTGGAAAAAACTGGCTTTTTTGCAAATACTGGCCCCAATTGACCATCGCACTTGTTTGCAATCGATTACACACCTATGAACAGGTACAAGCCAGCGAGACTGGTTCCCTGACCTTACAATTCCCCAATGTATGTAAACTGCTCTGTTTCTTCTTATATGGAGTCAGGGAACCAGACTGTAGGAAAATGATTGTTTTTCTTGGTTTTTATAGCATTTTCGAACCCAAAACCTCAAAAAAGTCAGTGTAACTATATTTGATATATATTTCCAACCCCCCAATTCCATCCATTTCTGAAAATTACAGCAAAAGCAAATGATGTATATTCCCTTTAACATGCTATGCTTTCAGTAATAAGAAAAATGTTTGTAATAAAGGCATAAAGGATCATTTGCATTCATCACAATAGTGACTTACCAAATTATAATGAAGCTTACTTGGATGGAAGATCATACTGGTAATAACAAAAACAGTGAAATTATTCCGTCTGGCTTGCTGTCGTTTAGAAGAAATCAAGAAAAGTAGGTGATTTAATGATCAGTCAATGGACTGATCGTTGGAAATGAAGAGTTCCATTGACAAAATCGTGTTTCGTGATCAAAAGCTTGTGTGCTTTTTCACTGTTTTCTCATGAAAGTGTAATATCCGCTGAGCTAAAACTTCAACAGGCTTAAGGCTTTGAGCATTCTTCTTTGGATTTTGAGTGGTGTTATTATTGGAGATGAAGAAAATGCATGAAAAGCAAATGATCCTATATATGCCTTTCGATCAGAATTTAAACTAGGAGACTTCACTTGTACTTCTATATTTGCTCCTTTTTCTAACTGTTTTTTTTTTTTTCCATTTTTCTGTTTGTTTTTTGGTCTCGCCCTCTTTAGGTGATCGCGAACGGGGACTGAAACTACCTCTGACAATGAACTGTGATCGTTACAAGAACACCATTCAACAAATACAAGCAGGTCAGGAAGAAAGTACAAGTGATTTCATCTGTTCAAATCAGGAATGTGTAGGCTGTACTCTCTCTGGGAGTAGCCTGAAAACACAAGAATTTTTCTTGGGCCGAGAGTTGGGCCGAGTGTGCGCTCAGTAACACCTGTCAACTGTACCATTCAGAAGATAATTGACTCTTCCATCAGGACCTGGTCTTTATTCAAGACGCTAGTGATCAATTATGGATTGCCTTGTGTCTGCCATGCGTGCGCTGTTGTTCCACAGTTTTGGGCCCTCACAGTGTCATGGCAATCCTGCATAGGGGTTTAAATATTCCTTCTTTTTTCCCCCAATGTCGCGTACTTGCATCTTCAAATGTAGGGTACAGATTGCGCCCATTGTCAATCACAACTTGTAATGGAGATATTGTTTTATTAAGAATGTGCCCTTAAATTTGATTTACTTTCCAAAATCTGTTTACATGTCTATTTTAGATCCTTAATAAATGATAACTTTTGTTTCCTTCGCACGCTTGCCCGCAGGCTTCATGCAGTTTGTAGTGGAACCACTCTTCACGGAGTGGCAACGTTTCATGCCCACCCAACTCTCGGAAGGCATGCTCCGCAACGTCGTCAAGAACAAGGCGTCGTGGAAAGCCTTCGGGGAGCAGGAGAAGGCGGCCGCCGAGAACGACCGCAAACTGACCAATCAGAAAGTGGGGAACAAGCTGCGGAAAGTGGAGGGCCAAACAGGAGTGGTGGTCGCGAAAGAGACCGCGCCGGCCAAATCGGACGCGGCCGCGAAAGACGCGCAGTTGAACAACAATAACAATGCCACTACGGCTGGGTTAACCACGGCCACCAATGTGCTCAGCTCAACTGGCGCCGTGGTCAGAGACTTACAGTTATCAAGTGCAATGGATGTGGACACCAGACATAAAACGTCGTCGTGTGCCACTAGTAGTATTGCAGAGGAGCCGACTTTGGCAAGCCTAACTCAGGGAAATAGGGACAGTCAAGCTATCGGCGGGGCGCAGAATAGATCAAGTAGGGGGGTCGTATCAAGAGTGAATCCCCCAGAATCCGAGACGCCCTCAAGGAGTGTGATATCATCAGATTACCGGAGGCAGAGACCGCTGTCGGTTGGAAACCTAGAAGAAGTTTCACTTTCGCGAGATGTTAAACACGGACTCGGTGCCTCCTCCAGAATGCATAGTAACCCCGCCTCTCCAATGGTTCCCAGAACGCAAACTGTCAGACAGTTTAGTTTACGTTTATACCGGTCGCCCCAGCAGACCGTTAAGAAACCCACTAACTACGAAGATCCATGGTTGTTGAGGAGTATCGACACCAATAGAACTAGTCCCTCTTCATCAATGAACAGTCGCCCCCGCCAGGAAATAGAAGCATCCGAGTCGAGTGCAATGCCTATGGAGTTGGGTAGTCCCAGGACTCAACCATTTAGCTCCGATAGGGGAAGGACGTTGAAGGACAGATCAAACCCAAAGGGATACGAGCTCACCACAGGTATTAATAACAATCTGAGTGTACATATCCCTGGTTCCCCGCGGTTGGAAACCACCACCCTGCGAGGGCATAGTCTTTATTCGGTTCCGTCACCGACACCGTCGCCATCGCCAAGTAATCGTTTGGGCGCTCACAGCCGACTAGCGACATCCTCCACAAGTTCCAAGTTCAGTCATTCCACGCATCAGTTACAAGTCACCCATGACTACGGCTCTGCCACGGATCGTGGGCACGGAGTGAGCCCTCGTGTGTCGCGACGAGAGGAGGTGCCCCATCGCGAACCGGGAAGGGGTCCGTTGGCGGGCAGGAGTTTAGCCGAGATGGGGTCGCCATGGATACGAAAAAGAATGGAAGAGAGAGATCAACGTCGACAGATTAGCAAGAGTTCGAGTAAGTAGGTACTGTACAGACCCCTTTTCTTTTTGTTTTGTTCGGAGAATCCATCAGATTTATTTATTGATTAATTTTCAGTTATACAGTTAAACAACACTTAAAATACCATTACGTAAAACGACAAGCCCGAGGATTGCCTATAAGTGAACTAAATCACTATTTAAACGGTTTTTCAGACTCAACAAATGAAACAAGAGTATTACACAGTAGAGCACATATCATGAAATTAGCCAAGCATGTTCATGATATCACTGTGCAGTGTTTTGATTGGCCGAAATGCCGTACTATGATTTTTCAGTTGCAAGAGAAAGTCATGTAGTTATTAACATTTAGCGCATACAGTAGTCGATGAATAAAACCAGTGCGCAATTTCATAACGCTGCTTAACAGTTAGGAGAAAAGCTGTGCTCACTATAGTACAAAATCATGCGGCTGCTTACATACTATTTTATGGCGTGGACGTGCTAACAGTTACGTGCACATGGAGATTTCTATTGTTACGTCACTGATTTAAGCAACTTTTATCTCAAAGGGTTAAGCGTGCTTTGGCTGTGCTTACTGCTTACGGTCTCCATGAAATACATGTAGACAGAGGCACTGCGATGAAATTGGGCCCAGTTTTCTATTGCATGGAGAATAATAATGTATGCATATAGTGGCATGAATTTGGGTGTCAATCGCACAAGTTTCATATTTGTGAGTGGGGTGCTGTGGTCCAGTGGTTACGTGTTTGACTCATGTGTCGTGGTACATTGGTTCGAATCCTGACCGTGGGAACATGGTGCTTGTGCTCTTGAGCAAGGCACTTTACCATTATTGCTTCGTCCTTCTGATGGGGCGTAAAGCCGTAGGTCCCGTGTGTTGTGTAATGCATGTTAACAAACCCAGTATCGATTCTCGCTAAGAGAAGGGGTTTGCCCCAATGTTTTTGGCAGTGGCTGCAATATGCGCCGCAGCGCCTTGTATACCCTTATAAGGTGCTACATAATGGGTCTCACATTTCTCATCAACTTCATTTACCTGTCTTTAATAATATAGACATAATTTCCAGCGCCTTGAGTACCTAATTGTTGGTAGATACGTGCGCTATATAAGACTCCGGTATTATTCTGCTTTAGAATTACAAACCACCATTAAACTTTTTTTGCGCAATGAAAATTAATGGTCACAGTAAATAAATTCAATTCAATCCTTTTTTTTTTAAAACACCATGATTTGCAGGCAATGGCTGAATTTTGGTTTACAGTAAAACACAACTATGGACATTTTTTTTTAAAAGGCTAAAAACAAGAAACCAAGAATTATGAGACTGTCGCTATACAACAAAAAATGCCATAAAATGGGCTCAACCATGACAGTTGAAGAAGTGAACATCCTTTCCCTTTCTCCCACCAGGTGTACCCCCGAGTCTATCGCCACGGCCCCCGCCCCGTATGACAGGCCATGCCACCAGTAGCTGGTACTCGGTACCACCGGCGCTGGGCCCAGTCATACAGGATTTCACGTCCTCGCAGCTAGCCTCCATAGCACAGCACAAGAAGCAATCGAAGGAGATACAGTCCAAAACTGTGGTGAAGCCGACGACGAAAGGAGACACATTTTTAGGATGATGCCATCTTGCTGTTGGTATTCTCGCTAGGAGGAGTTTTGCTTCATGCACGAGGGCGCTGTTCAGTATTTGCGCAGAAGTCCTAGAACACTGCCCTGTGGTGCAAATGACTTAAAAGTCACTGAATCTCGAAGATTTGACTTCAAAGTTAGTCATTGGGGACCAGACTTCACTGGTTATCAGTAGCCACTTGTAATGCCAAACTGTGTCCAAAAAGCAGGGTACCGTTGAACAGGAGGCATTCCTTGACAAATAGTCGTCAAGGTGGCGACTTATTCTGTAATTGCCGCGGAAACCTTCAATCAACGAAGAAAAGAAAAATAGGAGACAAAAAACAATCATTGGTATATATCTGAAGTTACTACAGTGGAATGCCGCTATAATGAACATTGCAGGATCCACAGAAATTGTTCATAATAGCGATCGTTCGGTATAGCGATTTTAAGCTGTCTGTGCTCCGGTACTCACATTTCAATACAAAGCGCCCTTCAGAACTTCACCCTGTACGCCCTGGTAGTTACTGAAAGACGACTTTGAACACGTGCCGACTATTGAATTATGTAATTACACAGTTTTTGAGCTTACTACATACGGCAATGCGTGGCTTTCCCCTTCTATTCCTTGGGGAAATAATAGCCACTTGTCACTCTTCTGTTGACACATTTTAACAACAATGTTCAGTATCAAATTAGGTTTTGCCCTTCACCGACGTTTAAACACTGTATACTCAGTGTGTTACCTCCCGAGTGAAAGTTGGAAAAAATCACTTGGGTGGGACTCGAACCCACGACCTCCTGCTTTCTAGTGCAGATTTATATCACTTTGACGCAAAATTCCATATTATAAATGTTCAGTATGTTTTGTACACAAAAAGTAGGAGCCAAGAATGATGTTCGGTATAGCCAAATATTCGGTACAGCAGTGTTCGGTATAGTGACGTTCCACTGTAGTATTACTCCAAGGAAAGAAACACAACTGGGATTCTCATGAAAAAGCAATCTGCATTGTGCCAAATATATTTCATCTTTTCATTCTGCATGTATGGCTACACAAAACATTACTGCGACTGCGTGCAAACAAAAATAACATTTGTAAACATTTCTCTCCCCCTCCCCTCGACAGGTTAAAAAAAGTGTTGCAGTTTTTGTGGTTTTTTTCCTTTGCTTTTTTGTATCGGTTTTTTTAAAAGACTGATTTTGAAGTAGCATGTGTGTCGTTAACAAAAGTGACATAAGCTTGTTTCCAGTGGTGTCTCTCGAGTAATTTGAAGATTTTGTCTCAAACTTTTAGCTGTGTTTGTTTCAAGAGATTTACTGCTTAAGTAACGTAGCCTTTGAATGGAAAATACATGTGAGTCCAGCGGTAGACTTGAACTCAAGTCTGTTAATATTATATGCTACATGCACAGAATTGAGCTCAAGTCTAATCCTCTTGTGGTTCATTCAGTTTATTGTGAAGTTCCGGAATTTGTTGTGAGTTTTGAAAACTCAAGGTATCAACCCATTTCTAGCCAATTTTTTTGTGATTGCTCAAATTTTCAAATTCTAATGGAAAATTTAATTGTCCTACATTTTTTTTGTCTGAGTCTCAACTTAACAAGCAACAAGCAAAGAGAAAAAGAAAGTAAAGTCTGTCACAAGCCAATGTGGCCCATCAGGCCAGCGTTTATCTCCGGTTTCAGTAGCATGAAAGGACAGAGAATATTTCTACTCCCCTGAATGGGATGCTAGTTCCATCGCAGGTTACTCCCCAGCTAATGCCAGTACCCATTTATACTCCTGGGTGGAGAGAGGCAAGTTGGGGTGAAGTGGCTTGCCCAAGGACACAACATATGGCCATCAGCTGGATTCAAACCCCTGACCTTCTGATCATGAGTCACGAACCCTAACCATTAGGCCACACTCCCCACAACAAACAAATGGCACCCTGAAACTGAAGTGCACCTTAAGTCAAAACTGCCTGTCAACCATTGTCGGAGCACATTTTGTTCTGTTTGATATCAAACATCGAACAGAGTTTGTCAGATTCAAATAAACTTTGAGCTCTGCAGGGGATTTTGTGTGTACGGGGCCCCCTATTGACAGAAACTTTCCAGTTCGATACACTGCCTCAGTTCTTGTTTCTGAAAAGCGAGATTTGGTCAGATGCTTTCAATGTCATTGATGGTATAATTTCATTTTAGTCCTTGTAACAAACCTGCCTTGTGTGTTGTTGATGAAAAGAAAAATACTTTTTTTATATTTTCGCTTCAGTTGCTGCTTTGTATGTTTGTATTTGTTGGATCCATAGACCTGGTAGAAAGTGGTCATAGAATAACTTGAAAGTTTAAAGGTGGAGTAGATCATTTGCAGCTATCCAAAAAGTGACTGACCAAATCATTGTAAAAAACTTACTTGGTTTTAACGATAGTCATGACACTAAACTCCCTGTGAAATTATTCCTTCCTGTCTGCTGTCATTTCGAAGAAAACAAAAGAAGGTCATTTCCAAAGATGAGTCAAGTGACACATCTTTGGAATTTCCATTAGCATTTGGTTTGTGATTGGGCGAGCGTTGACACGGAGCACACGCATGCGCGGTTGCTATTATTCATCGGTTCAGTGCGTGACATCCCGTAGCTGCTATCGGCTAAATGAGAACGTGTTCCCGGATGCTGATTTCGGGCGCAATTCAAAATGTGACTCTGCAACTTTTGAATTGAAATTGAGATCCTGGAATATTGTTTTCTCGGAGTATACAGCATTCACAGAGCTAAAACTTCATCAGGTTAGTTGTTAAGCACCCTGCTTTAGATTTTGAGCATTTTTGTTGCTCCAAACGGGAAAAAAAATGCACAAACGACAGATGATCTGCTGTACCTTTAATTACATGTACAACACAGGTAAGGAAGAAATGCCTTTGAAACACGATCGGCTTGACTGAAACTCTAGGGAAAATATCCCTATTGCATCTGAAAGTGCAACATCAAAAATATGCATAGACCTTCATAGAATATTGAAACTAACGCAAGTTGTAGATGCCTCGTTTCTCAGATTTTGAATGTTTGGTGTAATCAAAAACAATCTTTTGCTGTTTTAGAACGAAAAAAAAAACAATCTGAGAACTATTTGTAATAGATTGTACTGTTTTATACAACGTCTGGCTGGTTGTTGCCCAGGGCAACGCAATCGCATACATTCCATGGAATTTTTTGACAATTAATATTTGGCATTTTGTATCGACAAAAAAAATTGTAAATATTGAAAAATTGGTAATAAGTATTATATATAGTCTTTGGGTGAGGTATTATACCTTTTTAGTATTACAAGTTCATGCACTTTTTCAACAGTGGTTTTGCTGATTGTCATGCTGTAAAAGTGTGTGGTGTATCATTCGAGATCGCAGAAGTAATATTTGTAATCGAAATGACCGATGCTACAAGACTGTCTTTTCAATTTACTAAAAAAAACCTGCCCTTGTATATAAACACTGCTAGAGTTATTTATTTCTTAAGTATTTGATTACCAATACCGTAAAATCTTGTAAGCTTGTCGGAAACAAAAACAAGATGGATCAAGGTTTTTCCCTGAAAAGTTTAAGATCCTAATGACTATTTTCTATCGCTCAAAAAAATGCTGCCGTATTATTTGTCCAATAACGAGCTTAGGAAATTTCTAGCATGTTTTATCTTTGAAGTCCTTTTTTGCATGAGGAGTCAATTTCAAGGGCCTAGGGGTTTGGACAAGAATAATGGCCTGAGCCAAAGGCGAAGGTCACTATCCTCATCCAGGCCCCTCGGCTGGTTTTAAACGTACTTGTTTAATAACGGCCATTAGCACATATTTATTCCCATTCATAAATACCTTTCTGTCAAAGAGTCAAGCAAGTCAAACTTACAAATTTCCAACGATTTTGTTCAACAATTGTACTTCATGTTTTGTAAAACACCAACTCTAGCTGTTTACGGTATGTGCCTGGCTTGCACGTACTGCGCTGAGTGGCGCAGAATGCAGCGGTGCAGGTGTGGCGCAGAATGCAGCGGTGCAGGTGTGGCACAGAATGCAGCGGTGCAGGTGTAGTGTGAATTTAGGACTCGATGAAATACTGACGGCGCATGCCTAGGTGAAGATAATTTAGGAGAGTAACTGGTCACGTGTGAGGGATCAACTAATGAAAGGGTAAAGGGGGCCAGATTTCATAGGAGTCCAAATTTCATGTGACACCGGGAAAAAAAGTGTTTCAAACCAATTAGTGTTTTATCAACCATTTAAAACCATCCCACCTGACGGGCTCTCGACCAGTAGGAATGGGTGAACTGTCTTAGGTATTTATGATTTCTTGTTTCAGTTTATCACTGCCAAGAAACTTGTAAAGTGCAAAGATAAAATTTATAAAAAATTAATAAATTGAGATTTCAGCATTTTTTGGCCAGCATTAAAGAACTTGTGAACAATACCACCTTCCGTGATGGATTACATGTAAATTAAGCATTTTCAAGCATGCAGCATTCACTAAAAGAAATTGCTTTAATTATTTATGCTTTATAAAATATTTCCATGTCATATTCTCACGGCAGTATTTCTTTTAAAGATCGGCTTAAGAGCGTGCAAACATTTTTTTTTATGTAAAAGAAAACTGGCAAGATAATGACTCCGGTTTAATATAACAAATGTACAATGTGAGTCCGTTTTTGTCTTCGGGGACATCACATTGTAGATAAGAAAATGTTTGGGAATTCTTTTCTTTTCATTTTTGCTGAGTTGTGGTTCGAGAAATGGCCAGTTTGAGTTGCCATTTTAATCAGGCCCCTTGAGTCCAAGTGACATGAATGTCAAATGGTAACCATTGGGACCCGGGCATTTTCTTTTAAAGTGCAAGTCCATTTACAATATAAATGCAATGTGAGCCTCACTTTGATTTTTTTCTTGACGAATATAAATGAAACGTGAATTATTGCTGCAGTAAGCTGCAAAGTTGTCCAGGAACTACAAAGAAATCTGGACTTTTGTTTTTAATTATATTTTTTTATGATTTTTTTTTTTAAATTTATGTATTGATATATCCCAAAAATCTGAAAGTTTTAATTTCATTATAAATGAGGCGTACGTGTATATTGATTTTAATTGCATGCAAGCATGTTTGGTTTGTGGATAACTGGCAGCCATTTCTGAAACTTTGTTTAAGGCTTTGGGATATCAATTTAACGTGGGACCATGTCCTACATAACTCCAGTTTGGAGTTTTGTCCATTTGGATCAAACACTACTGCTTGGAGAGTCAAAGCTGAAGACAAAAACATGTTTTCGAAAATGGCTGTCAGTGTGTTAAAGATAATATACAACATTTGCTCTTGCTGTAATTTTTGGAATTGGGGGTTAGTATTTTATAGCAAATATTGTTACACTGACCTGTTTAAAGTTTTGTGTTCATAGATGCTGGAAACACCAAGAAATAAAAATGCTGTTCTTGTAGTCTGGATCACTGACCCTGCTTCAGACGCGTCAAGTTCAACGAAACAGAGCAATTTATAGATGTCGGGGAATTGTCAGGTCAGGGAACCAGACTAGCTGGCTTGCACCTGTTCACGGGTGCATAATCGATTGCAAACAAAATGTGGACTAACTAAATTTAGTAAATTGGGGGCAGTATTTGAGAAAAAAGTCATTTTTTTTCCAACGATGGTCGGCAACCATCGTTTGAAATTGATACAAAAAGTTTCACTTTTCTTGAAAATGACAGCAGTCACAAGGTGCCACGATTTCACAGGATGCTTCAAAATATTATTCACTTACAGTCAAGTAAGGCATTTCATAATAATTTGGTAGTTTTTTTTTATGTTTGCAAATGTTGTATATTACCTTTCATACCTTTAAGAATAAACGTCGAGAAAGGTGAGCGAGCCAGTAGCAATTGACCGTATTTTTGACAAAAGAGGGCGCTGTAACACTTACATAGAAAAATGAGAGATAGTGAAAATATAACTTCTGAGCTTTAGCAGTGTGTATTAATGTACATCAATAACCTCTGATTCACCACGGTTTATGCTGCGTTCCAATCACGTCGTGTTTCTCGCATTCACGAGTTCACTGGTAACTCGTATTCACCAGTGGTGAACTGGAGATGGATTTTGTTTCTCGAGTTCACGATGAGAAACACGACGTGATTGGAACGCAGCATTATCCCCCAACATGGCAGTTAAAGCGCCCTCATTTGCTCAGATTCAAATTCAGATTCTTTTTAGTATTTTCTGCATGCATTTATAGAGAAAAAACAAAAATTCAACTGGTCCACTTTGTATGTGTATCATTTTAATAACGTGTAGAATTTCCCTATAAGGTATCTGCTGACTGTTTTAAGATTTCATTTTTTGTAAAGTGCTTTACACGTATTGCAATAACTATCTTTAAGAAAAAAACAGTACCCAATTTTGGGGGTTAATTAAGCTAAACGAAAAGAACTGAATTGAGTTTTTCCCTATTCTTAATTCGCAATAAGTTTTCTTTCTGTTGGCAAAACAAAATTTACAGAAAAATGGAAACTTCTAACTGCAGTATTTGTATAGTAAAAACTGAATAATTTGCCATTCAATTTTTGTACAAAGTTTTTTTTTCTCCCATCTGGGCGTCAAGTGTTTAAACAACGTGCTAACTTTTTCCTCTTTTATTTCAGAGAAGTTTCCGTTGAGTTCAGTGTATTTAGGTGTTTCATTCAAATTTTATTACGTGTATTTATGAGAGTATTGGTGTGTTGACACATTTGTACAAATAGAGAATTTTTTTGACGATAAAAACTTCACCAGGCCGCCAAAGTCTTTTGTATATGGAATTATTTCTTTTATTAATGTTACTATGAATGTCTTAATATTCTATTTAAAATAAAAATCGATTGGAAAAAAAAGGTTATTCTGAGAAATAAAATAATTGAAATCCACCAAATTATTGTTTTCATGTGAGTGGATCATCAGAAGAAACGTTTTGTCCACTATTATAGGCATGCAACTGGGAATTTAGAAGAAACGAGAACATTCCAAAACCACTGAAACTTTGTACAGCATTTTGCGATGTGTAATGGCATTCATGAGAAGTTAAAAAAACCAGGAAATCAGCAGTTGCATGCATGATATTAACCCCTTTTAATTTCTAGTTTCGGGGGCGGTGTGCAACAACTTTGCCTTTCCCTCCCAGTGCTAACCATCCCAAATCCTCCAAAATCCTTTTTGCCAATTGGAGGAATGTGCAAGATTGAGGTTACATGGCAAAAGTGCGTTGCTGATTTCGGAGGACGCACTGTGTCAAGGTCTTGGGCCCGACCTTGTGTTGTTTATGCTCAGCCGTGCATAAATTTAGCCCTTGATTATACTTTACATCCTCCGCACTGCTCCAGGATGCCACTGCCTCAGCCTATTGACAGTCGTAGCCGGAAGATTTTGCAGCATTCAGGCAGTGGTCACCTCTCCACGGACCATATTCAAGAAAAAATTGAGGAATTTGCAGGATTGAGGCTATACATGTATGCCATTTTTCCATGAGGCCAATTGGAGGATTTTGCAGGATTGAGGCTACATCCTAGCAAAAAGGCCCAGGGAGTTAGGGTTAAAATATTCTACATGTACTTCCTATCTTACAATAACAAGGACTGACAACTTTAAGTAAACGTCCCACAAATTAAGTAAGCAAATCTTATAGAAATCAATATTATAAACAAAGTAGTTACAAAAAAAATTACGCAGTTACAACAATTTTACATCTATGTACATGGACTTTATACACTGCATCAGCCGGGCCGTGGGTTGGGACGAATATTTCAATGACATGATAAACGATCTACCAATCAGATGACGAGGATGTATTCAGGCGTTGTATAAAATACAACAGAGCACAGGTGCCAATGGATTAATGCCTAGGTCATGCAAGGACCATTAATCGACTAGTGGTTGATTTGTGACGTACCTTACGCCTGCGCACTGATAGCGACGTGCGAACGTCTCTAGTCAAACGCTGGTCAAAATGTCATCGCAACATGTCTGGATCCTGGCTCTCTGCTAGCGTTATGAATGCGCGCGGCTATTGGTTACCAGCGAAGCAACCAACCCCAGTAGGCTGGTTCCAAATAGTCGACTAGCGAAGTCAACCACCGTCGACTAGACAGAGTTCGGGCAAGCGTTAGTCGGACTATGGTTAACTATAGTCCTTGCGCGAACTTGGCCTAGTTTGACAGCAAAATGTCCTTGGGGAAAAAAGTGTACCCACTGAAATGTGCTCATACTCGTAGAAAGTACTGGTAATTTTAGTCGTGGAAATGTGCTCTTTACTCATGGAAATGTACTCGTACTCATGGAAAATAATGCCTTGAACATGACCTTTCACTGCAAGGTACTCGTACGTATCTTCAAGTAAACTTGAATCCTCGATCCTGATTGGTCGATCCATGGCAACAAGCCGTGCTACATATAACCATGTAGCATGGCCTTGGTCCATACCGCACTCCGCGCTTTTCTAAGATGCGAGCGCCATTCCGTACAACACGCACGTGTAATAGGATAACCGCATTACCGCTGAAAAGATCGTGTACAGCGTGCGTGTTCCATGTGTGCGTCAAGTTTGCTTGAAGATAAATTCGTTATCGCGCTCGTGGAACACGAAAAATGTAGTGTGTCTGTGTCCCACATTCGGCCTCGTGGTATGTGGGACACAGACGCACTACATTATTCCGTGTTCCACTCGCACTCGCGGGATAACTTATATTTTACTCATGGCAAAGTACTCATACACGCACTCATACTAATGGCATGGTAACTGTACTCATACTTGTGGCCTCGTACTCATGAATGTGCTTATCTACAACACTGCCCTATCATGAGTCAATATCTGGTGGTTAAAAGAATATGTACATGTACTGAGTAAAACTGCAATTTAGGTCCACCGTAGTTCTTAAACACTCTTTAAATCTTAGCCAATATAAGCTGATTTTGATGATCAAAATGTCTATCATGAATGAAGGGAAGGCACTGTTACGGCTGCATCCAAATCAGCTGTTGAGCGGCTGTGGCTTAAGTTCATTTACACTGACTCGCCAGTGTGCACATCCATAGTCATAGCCCAATACATAGGTTTAGATATACATTGTATTGTGCAAGCTCTCTATGGGTTGACATAGATCTGTCGCGTCAGTGACTGTTATACGTTTATCTCAGCCAGAGGACGGCTCGGTCTGGTACCCTGACCCAACTTGGATGGTTTCAGAAGATGCTGCCCAAACTGCAGAATAAAAAGAAGAAACATAAAACACATGAAACTCTACTAGTCCAAATGCCATGCGACTAATACAACGATCAGTCAGCCGACTCATCGTTGGAAACAAAGTGTAATATTAACAAAATTGTGTTTCGTGATCAAAAGGTTGTGCATGGTGTTTTCTCAAAAATGTAATGTCCTCTGAGCTGAAACTTTAACAGGTTAGCTTTGAAACATTCTTCTTTTTAGACAAATGAATGATGTTCAATAATGGCTACCTTGGGGCTTGCATGTCTTGGGCTGTTTGTCTTCGGCGACGGGGTTCCCCAAGCTCTGTTCTCCTTGTTGTCAGGGCTATCTTCCGCTCGTTGACGCGCAAACTTTCTCTTCAGTGCCTGGGCAATCAAGGCCGCCGCGTCGTTGGCCGTGGCGGGACGCGGTTTTTGACGGATTGGAGTTCCTCCAGGCGATCTGGTCAATAAAAATACGAGATTCCCGGTTCTGAGTTTTAATCTATTACAGTAGCTGTGAAAAGTACATGATATCGCAATGCAGGCGAAGCTATATTATAATCTGCAACATGGACAGTTCATATGACCTGTACCGCCCCAAACCACCCTAATAATGGTGCATGGTTGCACATGTTCATCAGGGAATATACACAATGCATTACAATGTAGTACAGGTGCTAATCTGAATAAACATGTGGACAAGGGCCAAGCCACAATTTTCACAAGAAAAGTTTCACACGCAACTCGGAGGCAACTGAAAGAACATTTACCCGACCGTGTATGACAATTCTCTCAAATATTAGAGAAAATTGAAGATTGCGTGTCGTTTTCTTCTAGGGATAGCCTGGAACAGTCACATGAACATTGCTTTGTGTGACATGGGCAACACCGTACTACAGTTGCTTTATCTAGGACACTCGATTATGCAGGCCATCAAAATGCTGTAAACTACCTTGCCACAGTTCGCAACTTGACTGACCCGATCCCCTTCAGAACTTCAGCCATGTCCGGTTTGCTCCCATCCACAACGGACGAACTTGAAACATCTTTCCCCTTTTTTGCACGATTCTGAGAAGAAAAAAGAAGAGGATAGCGTACTTTGATAATAAGCTTAACATTTCTTAATATCTAAGGTCTGCCAGTAAGGTTTAGCAGTTACACTACTTTTGAAATGAAGAAAGTTGTTACATAAGTGGGTGTTAAAAAATGATGAAACTTACTTTTTTGATTTGTTCAGCAACACTGATGCACTGAGTTGAGCTAGCCACGGGTGGAGGAGGGGGTGGTGGGGGTGGTGGCGGACCCCCACATGGAGGGGGTGGCGGACCCCCAGACGGTTGGGGTGGGGGAGGGACAGGGGTAGCCTGCATAGCACCTGCAGTAACGATAATGGTTGAACAAAGAGATTAGATGGTGCAACATACTTATCTGATGCAGTAGTCGACTCATATGTGAGGTATAAACTCAAACCTCAATTCCTGAAAGCATTGTCCCTAAGCAGGACAATTTGCCACAATTTCTTCTCTTCAATTGTGAGGTCAAGTTTAAACTCAAACCTCAAATCCTGATAACTTTGTCACTAAGCAGCATAATTTGCCACAATTGCTTCTCCTCAAGTGTGAGGTTTAAATTCCCACCTCAAAACCTGATAGCTTTGTCCATAAGCAGGACAATTTGCCACAATTACTTCTCTTCAATTGTGAGGTTTAAACTCAAACCTCAAATTCTGACAACTTTGTATCTAAGCAGGGCAATTTGCCACAGTTGCATCTCTTCAAGAGTGAGGTTCAAACTCAAACCTCAAATCCTGATAACTTTGTCCCTAAGCAGGACAATTTGCCACAATTGCTTCTCTTCAATTGTGATGTTTAAACTCAAACCTCAAATCCTGGACAATTTGCCACAATTGCTTCTCGTAATGTAACTGCGTTACATAAATTTGCATTAATTTGCATAATTGCACAAGGTTTTCCACACATGTATAAATGTTTGCTCTACTGCGCTGAAAGCCACTTTTCATACTTCTGTGTAAAGTGCCCGTGATTTTCACCCTAGGGTTAGAGATTTGTGTACCTGGTAGTGGTAGCTGGGATTGTATGGTCACAATCTGTGCAATTTGTGCTCGGAGTTTGGACAACTCGTCCTCCAGTTGGCCTATCTTGGCCAGAGCCGTCGGGTCGTAGGCGGGAGTCGACGCGTCTAACGTCGACAGCGAAAAAGAAAAGGATTCGGCGCTCGGCGTAGCATGCAGTTCATCTGACAGCTCGCTGATGTCGGGCTCTCGCGGCCGACGTATGAAACACGTCCTCCTGCGCGGCGTTCGGAGGGATTTTCTCCGATTGATGAAAGGTCGATACTCAGATCTGTCAACACAAATAAGGAAACAAAAAGTTTCAGTAAGGAGTTAAATTTAGAGTTTCTGAAAACTAACGACGCAAGTCTATGAGAGAATTCCTTTTTTTGTGAAAAAGTTTTTTAAAGTGCTTTTATACGTAACATTTACATGCTTTCTCTGACAACCAACGGTGCTGTTGCTGTGATGCCATTTAAGGCGCACATTCTTCAGTTTTAGGGGTTTACTGTTTAAAATTGTGAACCCAAATAATTCTCTCATGTACCACAAGGGTTTTCTCTCCTATGTACATATCAACACGTCCGATCTGGTTGTGCTCCGTGGTCAGGCATGGGTCATATGGCGGCTGCCTGAGTTGCCTTTACATGCCTTCGGCTCAACCACGCTGTAGCCGCCTCCTTCCCAATTCAGCTTTTGTTGCGAGTAAAGCTGATTAGCCCCCATTATTTATTTTGTTTATTTTGAGCTTACCTTCCACGCACGTTCTTGTCAGGACTAGAGACCTCGATCCATGGTACGTCCGCCAGGCTGGCTATAAACACCGGCTCGCACTCATCATCGATGAACTGAGGAGCCCGGCTTTGTCTCCTTCTAGCGTGTTGCTTGCTGCTGATAATCTGCATAAAAATTCAGAAATATATGTCTGATCTCTTCAACAAATTCAACTTTTTCCCTCAACAAATTTTGACCTGTGAGTGTTTTATTTTTACCCAAAAAACTGGGGTTTTTTCTGTTTCTAAAAATCCTGCAAAAAAAAAACACTTTTATTTTTGGGTTGCTTTTGCGCACAAACAGCTACGTGCTGCGAATCAACTGGTTCCCATTTTCCACATTATTAAATCAAGTGGTTGGGAACCAGTCTACATTGTGAGAACTGCTTTATTGTTGATGCACAAATTATATGAACTTTTGAATTAATTGTTCCATAATTGAACTTGGGCCCATTTTTTTTTCAGTTGGTGTCACGTGCAAAAGTGAATAACTGTTAAATTGCTAGAAAATAGTAATAAAAAACAAAAAACGGAATCTATTTTTCGGGATGAAAGTCAAAAATACCACTGACACTACATCTTTATTAAAGTTTCCTCACTGAAAATTCTGGAGGGCATTAAAAAAAAAAATTCTGGGACGAAGATACAAGTACATGTATGTGTATCAGGGTAGTCTTATTTCAAGCAGTGTTAAGAGTTATAGTTACCTGGAAGTGAGATCTTCGTACTGGTTTGAGCGGCAGCGATGTGCCAATTTGACGCACTATACTTCGGTGTCGTCCTTTCTTGCCATGATCGCTCACATGCTCCTGAAAAAACAAAGTCATTGTGAGTGAGAAACATTCCTGAGTTAGAAACACGATAAACTTGTTAAACGTAACCCCTAGGCACTTTTGCTTGGGAAAGGGATGCTCCCAAATCCCATAAAATCCATCGCTTGGTAATCATAATAGGAAACTAGTGGAACATTTTCTATACCAGTACTAGGTCAACCTATCGAGGGGCAACATAATCAATCTTACAACATTTATACAATGTCTTAGAGTAGCATACATGTAGCTAGGCTTGTCTTTACCTTCCTCATTCCTATGTAAAATCCTACAAAATCTTCTCATAGATTTTGAAGGATTTGGGAGGGTTAGGGAAAACTGTTTTGTTTATCTTACCATGAAGTTGGAGTCTAGTCCTATGTAGTTTAGCACCATTCTGATGTACGCCAGCAAGTCCACAGAACGGGCTGACATTGGCCTCAACTTTGGTCCTCTGAAAAAGTATTCTCGTTCTTTCTTTGTCCTGAAATTAAGGGAATTTGACACAAAACTGGTTTACAAATGAATAGTAAGCTGGTATGTTTCTGCTGAAATCATGTCCAAAAAAAGTGCCAAATGTAAATAATAGGTGATTCGTTAGACCCATTAAACTGGGATGCTAACGTATAGAACTCCTTTTTTGAAATTTTGGCTTGCAAAAAAATAAAATAAAAAGGATAAAGGAGTTCTTCTATAAGTTCTAGCGCCCACTGGATCTAACATTGCTCTATAAAATAATGCTAGTGAATCGTAAAGTTCTATGACCAAGGCTAGGCTACTCAGGCCTAGTCCTACCTTTTTTTCCGCAGTGGTTAGTACTGCAACTTTTATAAAAACATGAGAAGAAAATATAAAATTTGAAGAAAAAAAGTGAATTTGAATGTTATGAAATTCGGACTTTATTTCCCTTTTTAAAAAAATCCTTCAAAGCCTCAGGTTAGAAAAGGAAAAAAAATTGAGTGCAAAACTGAGATTCGAACGCGCAACCTTGCGGTGCAAAATCCTACCCTCTATCGACTGAGCTGTCGCACTGCTCGCTAAAACGTGGGGAAACAAATAATTATGTACCTGCGTGCGTATCAAAAAAGTATCGTAGAGGGCGCTAAACAACGGCTGCCGTAACGATAGCCACTTCGTTTTTTTTTAACCGTAGTGGCTATCGTTACGGCAGCCTAGCCGTAACGCGATTTTCAACTGCTACCCTAACGGTATTACAAAATCACCATTGTGAATCTTTATAACCAGTCCAACCACAACGCTTCAGTATTATACTTTTTTTTATGGGCCTACATGTTTAATATTATAACGGGGATCTGGGTTGGAAACCGCTGCCATAATGCATGCTGCTCAATTTCTTTGGGCTGTTGGGGGGGGGGGGCTTTACTTTAGCCCCCGTTTTTTTTTGTTTTACTTGTTTTTACATCCCGTTCTACACCCCCATTCCTACACTAATCCCGCCCACCCTCAACCTTCCCTCCCCCCCCCCCCCCCCCCCCCCCCCACCACCACCACGGCGCAAATACGCCCCCAACGCCTGTTCGTAATACGTTGAGGCTCGGTTCTGAACTCCGCACAAAACACAACAAATAAGCGAAGATTATTTCATTTGTTTTCAATATAAATGCTTAAAAACTTACACATTAATGCACAATAACGTAATGAATACTTCTGTCAAAAATCAAAGTAATCGTTCACCCTTTTGATGAAGAAAAAGTCGACAAAACTCACGCACTCTCCTTCGCCTTCCACCGTTGACTTGTGTTATATTATGCAAATGAGTGACCGTGTGGAAGCCAGCCAGCCAATCAAACGCGATTAAGATAAATATCAGCCAATCAGCGTTTGATTTTTCTGGAGGTGGCCATTTTTAAATGCCATAAGCGACTGCAACTTGGCATAGAGTGTGTGCGTGTGCTTTTTCGGAAGTTTTGGAGCCTCGTATTTAGGTGAGTTTCTTACAAATTAGAGGATTTGAGTAAAAGTTGAGTCAGCTACAACATACTGAGTAAAATGTGTGTCTGGGTTCGTGTTAGTATATGGATCTTTTACGTGTTTTTAAGGGTGAAAATATGACGGGAATTTTAGAAGGGGTGGGTTTTTTTGGTCGTAGAGGGCGACATTTACAAAATACAGAAAAAGGATGGTGTCCATTGTTTTGCTGTTAATATAATTGCTGGCCTATACTAGTTTAACATGTTTAATGCAAACAGGTTTCTGTTATCTTGGAGTGGGCCTTGGGCATGTTGGGCCGGCCTTACTACTCCTTAGCATTAGGCCTTTGGTAATTTTTTTATGTATCGAGTCGCCATAATAATCATTTTTTGTTGATGTAGGCCTATTTTAATTTTATATTTTTGTTTTATTTGTAACATGATACATGTAATTTGGCTGTCAGGCCACGAGATTTATATAAATAAAACCAAACCCAACCAAACCAAACCATCGAAATAGCATAAATAGGACTGTAGGACAAATTAGAGGATTTGAGTAAAAGTTGAGTCAGCTACAACATACTGAGTAAAATGTGTGTCTGGGTTCGTGTTAGTATATGGATCTTTTACGTGTTTTTAAGGGTGAAAATATGACGGGAATTTTAGAAGGGGTGGGTTTTTTTGGTCGTAGAGGGCGACATTTACAAAATACAGAAAAAGGATGGTGTCCATTGTTTTGCTGTTAATATAATTGCTGGCCTATACTAGTTTAACATGTTTAATGCAAACAGGTTTCTGTTATCTTGGAGTGGGCCTTGGGCATGTTGGGCCGGCCTTACTACTCCTTAGCATTAGGCCTTTGGTAATTTTTTTATGTATCGAGTCGCCATAATAATCATTTTTTTGTTGATGTAGGCCTATTTTAATTTTATATTTTTGTTTTATTTGTAACATGATACATGTAATTTGGCTGTCAGGCCACGAGATTTATATAAATAAAACCAAACCCAACCAAACCAAACCATCGAAATAGCATAAATAGGACTGTAGGACCACGTCGTTCTAGAGGGGGTCTGACGATAGGCCTAGTATGAATGATTCACGAATGCAATTTTCTTTTGATTTTCATAGTGTTAATTTATTTAAGCGTGAATTGGACATGTACAGTCTAACGTTAATCTGATCATCTGTAGGCTTTGAAATAACTTGACTTCACTTTTACTTAGGTGCAAAATGTTGAAGATAAGGCTCTTTTAAAAATTTAATTGAGACCTCAAACTTGGCTGGTGAAATACTGAGGACCTTGTTTTTGCCGGTTCGATTTTGCCTCATAAAATTTTTAGAGAATTTTGTCAGCTTAGAGTGAGTAAAGTTGGTCTGATATTTTTTGCATGTTTTTCTGCACCCAAGGTCCCAGTCTGCTGCTGCACCAGGTATTGTAGCTGTTCAACAGCGCACAACTTCCAACTGCATTATAAACATATTTGGTCTGAAAACAATGGACGTGTGTGCTGTAGTTCGACAACTCCGTCAGCTGGCATCAGATCAAAAGAACAGAGAAGCTATTGTGAAGGTTAGTTCATCAGAGATATGTACATGTACATATGTAATAAAGTTTATCACAAGTCACAAATTAATTACAAGTCATATAGTCTTTAGTGAAGTCACAAGGTATTTCAACGAACTGTGATGAAGACATTCCTTAATTTGTGTTCATCCTCTGCGACATGTAATTTGACTTGTGATCCATGTATAACAACTTGCGATGGACTTGTGACTGTCGTGATCGAGTCTTGTGATGACTTGTGAAAGATTTGTGATGGACGTACGATTGAATTGTGATGGACTTGTGATTTATTTGTGGTGACTTGTGATGGAGTTGTGATTGACTTGTGATTGCCTTGTGATTGACTTGTGATTGACTTGTGATTGCTTTGTGATTGACTTGTGATTGTCTTGTGACTGATTTGTGGTGACTTGTGAGTGATTTGTGATTGCCTTGTGATTGACTTGTGATTGATTTGTGGTGACTTGTGAGTGATTTGTGGTGACTTATCAGTTGTGATAGACTTGTGATGACTTGTGATGGACGTACGATTGAATTGTGATGGACTTGTGATTTATTTGTGGTGACTTGTGATGGAGTTGTGATTGACTTGTGATTGCCTTGTGATTGTCTTGTGATTGACTTGTGATTGCTTTGTGATTGACTTGTGATTGCCTTGTGATTGACTTGTGATTGACTTGTGATTGTCTTGTGATTGACTTGTGGTGACTTGTGAGTGATTTGTGATTGCCTTGTGATTGACTTGTGATTGATTTGTGGTGATTTGTGGTGACTTATCAGTTGTGATAGACTTGTGATGACTTGTGATTGACTTGTGATTGACTTGTGGTGACTTACGATTTACTTGTGATGGATTTGCGATTGAATTGTGACTGACTTCACTACAACTCTGGTGTCCATGGCTCTTTGTTCTGTGTGGAAGATTTGGCATGACTGTCCATGCTTATAAGTTTTTTTCACGTTTTCTAATGCAGATTCCTATTTACAAAATTATGTCCATTTTGCTTATTAAATTCTTATCTTTTTCTCAGGACCAAGGATGTTTACCGGGATTAGTTCTATTCCTAGACAATGATGATGTCAGTGTGGTGGTTACAGCATTGGAGGTTAGTTAACGCTTGTCAAAAATTTCAATCAATTTTTAGGTCTCTTGCAAAAAAAAAGACAGAAATGTTGTCTTTGTTTCAGCATCTAGTTTCAGTATAATGGTTAATTTTTTTAACTAGACTCATTTTCATCAGTGGTTGTTCAAAAATCACGTATTTCATTTTTATTTCAGTCCCTTCGTGTTGATGTAAATTTCAACTCAAACTTTGTTTCTCACTGCAGACTCTACAGCTATTGGCTGATTGCCCCAGCAATCGTCCAATCATGAAGAAGGAACTGGGCATGCTCATCAGCCTTCAGGATATCATGGACAAGTATTTCTGAATGTTTTGCTTTTTCGTCCTATTAAAGATTTAGTTTAGTGTTTGTTTTGAGGCCTTTTTCCGGTTTCTATATAAGTACATGTATTAAAATTTCGCACAATTTAAAATGTTATCACAAACAAGTTATTAGAAAATTACTCATTTTTTTTTTCTCAGATCAAAGTATGGCGTGAGGGCTCAAAACTTAGCCAGAGACATTTACGGCACATTGACGACCCCGCCCAGCCCCAGCCCCCTGAAGGAAACCCAGAACACAACCCAGCACAAACCCTCGACCAAACCAAAAGATAATAAAGCATTCTTCCTGGGTTCCAACAACAAGAAAGGAAAAGTCGTCATGTTACAATTGAACGGGCTGAATGATCAGGTAAGATCTTAAAGGAACTCTCTCTGGACACTTTCTTCAAGATGTACTGTCGGCGCTCTTCAGAAAATTCATTGTTTTTTTCTCGTAATGAATTTCCAACTTGATTTATTTTAATAATAAACTTTATTTCAGGTGTCTACAACTCTCTAAACAAGGCATTTATTTTGGTTGCTTTTGCACACAAACTGAACTGCCTTGTGAATAGACTGGTTCTCGGACTCTACATTATTGCTTCCGACAGGGATTGGAACCAGTCTACCCTGCGCAAACTGAGTTTTTGTTGGGCTGCAAATAATTTGAAATTCGTTGAAGTAACCACAATTTAACGTGGGCCATGTTTTGTCTCGGTGTGTGTGGGCGGCTCGGGCCGTCACCGCGTTGTGGGGAAGTTTTTTTATTGTTAGGCAAATTAGGACCAAGTTATGAGGATTTTCTGCTGTCCCCACAGCGTCTCCATAGTACCATGGGACAATTCATGTGTAGTCCCAACAACTGCGCAACGAGTATTGGTGTGTGTGTGCGTTCAACGTCTAATTTGAATTGACGAACTTTTGTATTGCTAGAATTATAGCAATTCATATTGTTTTTATTTTTGGGAGGTGAAACTCAAAAATAGCACAGACACTTATTTCCCCCTTTTTTTACCAAATAGGCTCAAAGGAAAGCCTGCGAAGAAGAACTTCTTAAGGTCAAAGGGGTCATCAGTTTCACCTTTGACCTTTTCAAAAAGAGATGCATCCTGAGAACCAAAGCTGAACTCAGACCGGAGGTAATAAGCTTCAACTGTTCAACAAGAGGATGTGAAATTTGTACACGGATCATTATATAAAACTGTAGTCCACTTTTTCTTCCTGTCCCTGTTCCATGACATCTTTGATTTTATAATTCTGATGCAGTTGTCCTCAAAGACTGATTATGAAAAGCAAGCTACCTATAGCCAACAAACGAAAAAAAATTGTTTGAAGTCATTCTTAATGATACTTGAATGGCAAATTCCTAAGTACCAAAAACAGGGACAGGAAAAATGTCACACTTTGGACATGCAGGTAAAACACCAGAAATGTGATCAAATTGAGCCCCTGACTGGACATTTTTCAAGCGTCAAGTTTCTTCAATCTTACGGGTCATTTGCAATTTGAAAAAAAGACCCACATTTTGCCGACACTCATAAGCAAAGAACTTCCAGAAATTATGAAATATAAATTGTATCATGTAAAGGTTCGGTTTCACAAAAATGTTTCAGATGAAAAAAAAAAATCTGTTTCTTAAAAACTTCTTGACTGCTCAGATGAATTTTAAAAGATTGAGATGTTTATGGTTTCCCCCCAATAGCTCCTTGTTGCAGCAGTTGCACGGACTGAGACTGTATCAGCTAAACAAATTATCCGGAATGAATATGGAGAAGAAGTAAGTATAAAAATTAGCTAAAGTTGGAAGAAACATTTTAAGAGGGGCACAAACTCTAGCACTACATGTAGGATCAGTGTTGTAGTAGGATACTCGTGAGAGGCCACAAGTCCATTTCAAGTGCATCACAAGTCCATCACAAGTCAATCACGATTCCATCACAAGTCCATTTCAAGTCCAACACAAGTCCAACACAAGTCAATCACAAGTCCAACAGAAGTCAATCACAAGTCAATCACAAGTCCATCACAAGTCCATCACAAGTCCATCACAAGTCCATCACAAGTCCAGCACAAGTCCAGCACAAGTCCAGCACAAGTCCAACACAAGTCCATCACAAGTCCAACACAAGTCCATCACAAGTCAAACACAAGTCCATCACAAGTCCAACACAAGTCAATCACAAGTCAATCACAAGTCTTCCAGTCCCAAGTCAACTTGCAAGCTATTCAAATGAACTGTGAAAAAAAAAACAGTCTTTGTCATTGTTCATTCCATGTTCATTCCATGTTACTTGTGAATTGACTTGTGACTGAACTTGTGATCCACCATCGCAGGTTCCGCGGCTACATCACTAACGCTTATGAAGGCATGCTTTGGCACAATTGCAGAATACCCCGCCAGTTGATCTCTCTACCTCGTAGCCGGCAACAGAGTCACGCTTGATTACCCAAAATAAACGGAGTTGCGGTTGGTTGCCCTCAGTAAACCTTACTCCCAATTTGTATCCGCGTAGCCACTCGGGGAGGGGGGGGGGGGGGGGGCTAGTATTTTTTTTCATCAACACACACCATTAAGATATGGCTGTAATTTCAGTGTGAATTACCATTTCATTACATCTCCATCCACAGGTCTTGCTGTCCTTCGGTGCGGACCCTGGGACAGCCGACAAAGAGAACAGGTCCCGACCTGACTACCTACCGGAAGACGACAGCCCAGTCAAGGGACTAGACAAGGCGATGGTGCGTCAAGGACAGATGGACCAGCAACAGAAATCTAGCTGGCTGAGTACCGCAGCATCCTTCATCTCAACTAGCTTCTACTGGTGATCATGGATTAAAGTGGGTGGATCCAGGAAAAGGCTGTTGGGCTGAAGCACCCCCCCCCCCCAAAAAAAAATGGGGGGGCACGGGCAAATGTACACCTTTAAGCCGACTGTCTGGTGTTTGATATTGTCATGCAGCCCCGTTTGGTCTAATTTCTGGGTCCGCCTCTAGATGACTGTATTATTGTACATGTTTGTAAATGAGTGATTTTGTAAGATGTTTTTTTTTCTGTGTTTCCCCATCTATTACATTGTAAAGCCATTGCAAGGATGAAAATCTGTTCCCAAAAGAACGGGTGTCCAACCTGAGCACAGCCTCGGGTTGACCTGTGATTTGCTTGCGCCGCGACGGAGCCGTCGGCATCAAGCAGAAAAGTAATGCTCGGGTCTCAAAACTGAGAAATTGTTTGATACTAACCTTGTGGAAGAAGCTGCATCTCGACACAAAATAATCGCAACCATGCTCATGTCATCCACGACGTAATGACGATTCCTCAGCACAGACGTGGTCATGTGACGTCTTCAAAATGTCGGTGCGCATGGTGATAGCTGTCCGACAATCATCCACAGCCACGCCTGTTCATTCGACCGTTTTTGCTGAATGCTGATTGGTTTACAAAATGAAATGCGATAATCCGGATGCGCCCACGATGTCGAAACTTCACACCGGTTGACCGCAATTGCTTCCTGCCTGTCAGGAACACGTTCAGTCGTGGTGCAGAAGTTTTTCTTCTCTTGAGACCGATGCTGATCATCTCAATATCGCCGCAGTTAAACTCAGGTCACAAAAAAATCGGCAGCTTACATGTTCCCGAAGGTGGTAGCTTTGGCGCAGGTTGATCCTGAAAAGTCGGTCACCGACTGTTCTGTCTCGTCGCAAGGTCGACCTGAGGGTGGCCTCAGTTCACTGAAGCAAAGTTGTCATGCTGTCATTGACGAGCAGTTTTGGTAAAGATGGGACAGCGAATATGTCCATTTGAATGAGGAAAAGCATTCACAGTTTTGAAACTAAAATGGGCATTTTTGAAAGAAATCAAAAGCCTTTTTTTTACAATGGACCAGTCCACTATAAAGGTCCGCCCCATGGTGGTTTGACCAACCGCAGCGGTGATTAACCCTAACCAAACTCAACCCAACAAAGTTCAACAGCAGGTTTTGTTTAAATCTGTTGGGATAGGTACAGTTCCCCTAAACTGATGGTCTTTTACACTGGGGTTGGCATACCTCCAGAAACTACGTCCAACAGTGCGTGTGTATGATTTCCCATGTGGGTGTTGGAATTTGCCAGAATGGGTTTGGTTCCTAGTAAATTAGGCTGGGTAGTTAGGGTTAATGTCCGACATGCGTGCATTTTCGTATGACACACACGCATCTTGAACGTGCAGTGTAGCATTGAAGAGACGCACATGTTGTTGCTTGTGTGCAGTGGAGGGGGCCTAACGGATCATTCTATTGAAGGAGAGCGTAAAGTTTGAAGAGTATCAAAGCTGCACTGTCCAAAGTTTGGGAGTTTTTTTGTAATTGAAAACGGTAACGTTAAAAATGTGTTTCATTAACTGCAAATGACGTTACATGATTTGCTTGAGAAATAAACACATTCTTTATTCACCTCTTGTTACTACAAACTCGGCCGGACCTAGCCAAAATGTTTGTTATATCTGAATTTTGTATTAAGAGTGCCCATCCCATTCATTGTGCATACATTAAATGCACAGTCGGGACCACGGCATTATGTTTGCTATATCTAGAATTTGCATTAACAGTGTTTGTATTAATGAGAGTCGACTGTATTCCTTGTGTTTGTAAGATTTAGTTTTTTGTTTTGTTTATATTGTTAACAGTTTTGATATTATTGTCTAAGAAATGGAAAAAAACTTGTAAATAGATGTTAATTATTTTCAGGAGTTTCAAATTGTAAATACAAGTAAGGTTATTAACCAAGTAGGCATAATAAACTTTAAAGTATCAACTATTTTGACTTGAAAATGTCTCTTTATTCACACTGACCACAACTTTTCTTTATATAAATACTGCTTTTCATGTTTTCTAAAATATCTGGAATATTGTTTGGATATTTACCCCAAAATAGGTGTATGCGACGTTCGTAAACTTGTGGCCCGTTTTTTCAGAAGTAAACTGTAGCTACATGTACCCACAAAAACAAGTCTCTTGTAAACGAAAATCGAAATATGCTTTAAAATTGATACAAAAGAACAGATCATGTACCATCACGTCGATCACTCTAACAGAGAGACGTTGTTATGTCGATCACTCTAACAGAGAGACATCGTAATATCTTCGTTCTATTCTGGATTGATTAGCGCAGTGAGTTTATCTTTGAATGGCTCAAGACTTGCGCAACAGTCCCACAGAGTAGAACACTCTTCATGTGTTATGAGTCACTTTTTTTCTCAAATGAGCAATGCCAACTTTGAGTCGACAAGACAGACATTGTAAGATGCTTCTTATCAATACATGGAAAGTAGGGGGATAACAACTGCTAACAAAAATAAAGTTTGATCCAATCTGTTTCCAATATTTAGTACGAGGTCCATTGTAAGATAAAGAAATTGACATTCAAGTTTCTACAGTGATTTACATTTACATGAATTCAGACCCTAGTTTTAATACTCGAATTCAAATTCGTGGAATTGTGCATCGAACGTGTGTATTCTGACATAGCCGTCCTCGCCACCACTGGTGTATCTGTACGGAAATAAAAGAAGAAAAATGATGAATAGAAGAAAGTTTTAAAAAGTGAATTTTAAAAAGTGAATTATAAACTGCAGTTGACGAAATGAATATTGCTGTTGTACTTAAAACTTTGTTGGGAAAGAAAAAAACAGAGATACTCTTTCAGTTACAGAAACTTACTTTTTAACATTATACCGAATTGTGAATGTACTGAGAAATGTCTCATTCATTACGAAATATATATTTTACGAATGACAATTATAATAGAAAAGAAATCAACCCAATTACTCATAAAACTTACCCCATTCCGTCGGGGGAATAGGCCAGGCTGTTGATTGGTCCAAAATGACCTTTGACACGGCCAAACTCTTCCTCAAAGATGAGGTGGAAGAAGCGGGCGTCAAATTTGCCGATTCTGGACGAAGTGGTCGTGACGTCCATGGCTTCTTGGCCTCCACCGAGAACAACCTGTCGCAAAATACGTCCAGAAAACTTTTTAATACTAAGGTTTTGCCTTTGCCCAAACGTATTGTTGTACTCAATCTATGCTTAGCACTTTCTTAGAACTTACAAGAAAAAAATTCATTATAACAAACATAATGGGGTCCACACAAGATTATTAAGTACATGTATAGCAGTTTTTGTATAGCAGTACTGTTACAGTGATAACGGTGTCGTTATCCGGTGACACTAGTCGGACAATGAATTCTGGTTGCAGATAACTCACATGGTCTTTATTTGGTGATATCGCCGCCGAATTCACCGGTCTTTCTGTCTTGTACGTCTTCAGTAACTCCAGTGTGTCTGCATCAAACATCTAACATAAAAATAAATAGAAAATAAACAAAATGTTCTTGTTAAAAAATACAGAGTTTTAATAGCAAATTGGGGAACACTTTTTGAGAAAATGAGGAAAAACAACACACAACCTTTCAATCAAGACACATGATTTGGTTTATGGCACTTTTTTTCCCCCAAAAAAATCAGTCAATTGACTGATCCTTGGAAATCACCTACATTTCTTGATTTCTTCTATAAAATTGACAGCAAGCCAGACGAAATCATTTCACGGGGCCTTTACAATCAGTTTGATCTTTCATCCAAGTAGGCTTGTTTTCCAAGTAGACATGTTTACCTCGCGTTTTTTTTGTGTTTAATGAGTTGGTGTTCAAATATTTCTGCCACTAATTTCTGTTAATCAAATTAAATATCAGTTACAATTTTAATTTTGTATTTTCTGTGTTGTGTGCGTCTTGCTTGGCGGACACCGGCATCTTATAAATATTCATTATTATTATTATTTTGATAATAATTTGGTCGGTTACTTTGGGATAAATGCAAATGACCCTATATGCCTTTAACCCTAACCCCCTAGTCCCTCTGGCTAGGATGCAACCTCAATCCTGCAAAATCCTCCAATTGCCACCAAGAAAAATTTGATTCAGCCTCAATCCTCCAAAATCATCCGTTATTTCTTGAATTTAGTCTGTGGAGTGTGACCACTGCCTCAATCCTCCAAAATGCCAATTACTGCTATGGTTTGAGGCAGTGTGAATGGCATTTAGAAGCAGTGCGGATGAAATACGAGACAAACACAGGGCTGATTTATGCATGGCTGAACATAACCAATGCAGGATATGGCCTACTGGCTTGACGTAATGCATCCTCCACACAAAAAAAGCGATACATCTTTGCCGTTCATCCTCAATCCTCTAAAATCATCCACAACCGGCAGGAGGATTTTGGTGGATTCAGGAGGGGTAGGGTTAAGGAATTTCTTAGTTTCTTCTTCACCTTTGCAGTGTTATCCTTAGAGGCCGTGATCACCATCTTGCTATTCTTGGAGGGTTGGACATCAATGACTTGACGACTGTGCTCCTGCACGCTGTGAATCTTCTCCCCCGTCTGAAAAGAAAATTAGAAAATTGAAGTGGGCCGTCTATGGAACACTGTAGGTGCATGGGTTCGAGTAACAAGGTGCTGTGTCCTTGGGCAAGACACTTTACTACAATTGCCTCTCTCTATGTACTTCTGACAGATCACATTTCATCAGAATTTAAAGGGAATATACACCATTTGCTTTTGCTGTAATTTTCAGAAATGGATGGAATTGGGGGGTTGGAAATATATAGCAAATATAGTTACACTGACTTTTGTGAGGTTTTGGGTTCGAAAATGCTATAAAAACCAAGAAAAACAATCATTTTCCTGTAGTCTGGTTCCCTGACTCCATATAAGAAGAAACAGAGCAGTTTACATACATTTGGGAATTGTAAGGTCAGGGAACCAGTCTAGCTGGCTTGTACCCGTTAATAGGTGTGTAATCGATTGCAAACAAGGGCGATGGTCAATTGGGGCCAGTATTTGAAAAAAAGCCAGTTTTTTTCCAACGCTGGTCGGCCGACCAGCGTTGGAAATTGATACGAAAATACCTCTTTCTTGAAAATGACAGTATACCAGGTGCCATGATTTTACAGGATGCTTTAGACTGTCATTCACTAACAGTCCAGCAAGGTATTTCAAAATGATTTGGTAGTTTTATTTTTCGATGTTTGCAAATGTTGTATATTCCCTTTAATCACATCCATCACAAGTCCTCCAGTCCCAAGTCAACTCACAAGCCATTCAAATGACCTATGGCAAAGGCCTTCCTTTGTTATCGTTCATCCCTTTGTTTCTTGTGACTGGACTTGTGAACAAGTACCTCAATCAAAACACTTGTTATGAGTGACTTCCATTGACCCTAACCACCCCAACTCCATCAAAATCCATCCCCCCATTTTGGTGGATTTTGGGGGACTTGGTCCAGAAGGCCTGGCGTGACTAATAGAGTGTGATGGACTTGGGCCTAATGGCCTGAAGCAGTGCTAGGGGTATCCGATTGATTCTGCCTAGCTTCCTGTACAGCTATTGTGATAAAAGCCATGTGTAGCAAGTCCATGAATGTCAACCAGTGCATCAGTGGTGGATTCCATTATGTCACATGTACAGTTTTGTATTGGACGCACAGTGATTGATGGATTTTGATGGACTTGGTCCAGTTCGTAGTAAAAGACGCTAGGGAGTTAGGGTTAAAGACAACTTACCTCCATTTGCCATTTTACCAACGATCCATCTTCGTGTCCAGTCAGGATGTATTTGTCTAGACCGCTGGCAATCGCACTTGTCACCTTGGGCGTTGTGACAGGAATCTTCAGGTACGGGTCGTTATCTTCTGTTGTATCAAAGTATGAAATTGGACTAAATTTTACAGCCGTCCAGAACAATGTCGGTGGGGTACAGTGTCGTCGTCCAGTCCATCACAAGTCCATCACAAGCATTGCTTTGTCAATGTTACCCGCTGTTACTGATGACTTGTGATTTACTTTGTGACCGCACTTGTTATTGACATGTGATTGACTCTCAAATGCTGGTTGATGTACATGATGTCGAGGTCCAAAATTATTGGGACAGTATTAAACGAATATCATCAAATTGAAAAAAAGTTGCCAGTGGACACACTTTTTTAAAACCACCTATGACCTTAACCCTCCTCAATCCTCCAAAATCCTCATGGTTTTGGAGGATTTGGAGGACTAAGGATAAATGACAAAAAGTGTCGGCTGATTTTGGAGGATGCATTGTGTCGAGTTTGTAGGCTGTACCCTGCCTTGTTTTTGTCCAGCCATGCATAATTGAGCCCTGCATTATGCTCGAAATCATCCGCACTGCTTCTTAATGTCATCGGCACTGCTTCAACCCATTAACAGTGACTGTTGGAGGACTTTGAAGGATTGAGGCAATGGTCACCCCTCCACTGAACAAATTCAAGAAATAACATGATTTTGGAGGATTGAGGCTGAATCCAAAGTTTACATGGCGGCAATTGGAGGATGTTGCAGGATTGAGGATGGTTCCTAGCCAAAAGGGCCAAGAGGTTAGGGTTAACCCTAACCGCCCTGAATCCTCCAAAATCCTTTTTGCAAATTGGAGGAATTCGCAGGATTGAGGTTACATGGCAAAAGTGCGTAGCTGATTTCGGAGTACGCACTGTGTCAAGGTCTTGGGCCCGACCTTGTGTTGTTTATGCTCAGCCGTGCATAAATTTAGTCCTTGATTATACTTGACATCCTCCGCACTGCTCCAGGATGTCACTGCCTCTGCCTCAGCCTATTGACAGTCATAGCCGGAGGATTTTGCAGGATTCAGGCAGTGGTCACCCCTCCATGGACCATATTCAAGAAATAGCGGAGGAATTTGCAGGATAGAGGTTATATGCTATTTTTCCATGAGGCCAATTGGAGGATTTTGCAGGATTGAGGCTACTTCCTAGCAAAAAGGCCTAGGGAGTTAGGGTTAATGATTGGTTTCTTCTGAACATGACCATTTCAAGTGGACTACTTTCACAGGGCATTTGGTGCGATCCCTATCTTCACTTTGAGCAAGGATTTTTTTCTCAAAACATTGGCAGTTTCGTTTCAAAACCATTTTTCCCCAACATCTTTTTTTTTATTTTTAGACTTACTCATTTGTTGGGGGTCACGGACATCATACAGGAAGATCTGGCACATGTTACCCATGGCTTTGTCGGTGGAGTAGAACAGCGTGTTTCCGCTGTACGTGAAACCACAAGTCCTCACAGCAGACTTTGTGTCGAACGTGTTGATGCATTTTCCTGTACACAAACATTTCAAAATCAACAGTTATGTCCAGTCAATGGCAACGAAACATTTTTTTTATTTGTCGAGGGGAGAGGTAGGATGGTAGGAGGGTGGACGGATAATTTTTCAAGACTAAAATTTGAGGAATTATCCAATTGCTTCTTTTTTTTTCAACAGGAATCCAACATTTTTGTGCTTGTTTTTTTATATAAATTTATAGACTTACAAATTTCCCAAAGTAGCGAAAAATGGATTCATGCTTAGCTAAAAAGGAAATTTGCTAAGACAAACGACTAGCCCTTTGTCGACTTCTTAAAGGGAAAATACAACATTTGCAAACATCAAAAAATAAAACTACCAAATCATTTTGAAATACCTTCCTGGACTGTTAGTGAATTACAGTGAAAAGCATCCTGTAAAATCATGGCACCTGGTATACTGTCATTTTCAAGAAAAGTGGTATTTTTGTATCAATTTCCAACGCTGATCGGCCGATCAGCGTTGGAAAAAACTGGCTTTTTTTCAAATACTGGCCCCAATTGACCATCGCACTTGTTTGCAATCGATTACAAACCTATGAACGGGTACGAGCCAGCTAGACTGGTTCCCTGACCTTACAATTCCCCAATGTATGTAAACTGCTCTGTTTCTTCTTATATGGAGTCAGGGAACCAGACTACAGGAAAATGATTGTTGTTCTTGGTTTTTATAGCATTTTCGAACCCAAAACCTCAAAAAAGTCAGTGTAACTATATTTGCTATATATTTCCAACCCCCCAATTCCATCCATTTCTGAAACTTACAGCAAATGATGTATATTCCCTTTAATTGATTGACTGATTAGAATTGCACCTGTTTCACAGTCCCATAGTCTGCAGCTATTATCACCAGCACCGGTCAACACTTTGGACGTGTCCCCTGTATCTCAAGTCAAGGAATTAATTCAAAACCCTTCATTCTTTGCTGGACCATTAGTCTTCTCAGGCCAAATACCAACAAAATTAAGTTCTCTTCCTCTAATAGGCTAAGTACAAAAAAAACAATTTGTCGTTCGAAATCACTGACTGACCACTTCATTACAACGCGTCCGCCATTTTGAAATCCCAAGGAAGGAACATTTTTCAGACGATATTAGTGAGAGCTGATGGCTGATTGTCGTATTTTGGCCAGATGGATGAAGATTTCTAGATAAAGGAACGTGTTTTCAAACAGGTATGAGTTCCTTTACGACTAGGTACCCTTACTTTGGAAATTTCTGTCCTGGATGAGAAGATATTCTCGATTAAAGTTGGTAGCAAAATCGCTACATCACTTTTTAGCGTTTGGGGGAGCATCGTCTGTCTGGCCGTACTACAGAGCTTGTGATAGTAGTGTATGGCCAGAGGCAGACGGGCTAACAAACCCCTAGCATAAACTTTTAAAAATGTATGGTTGCATAACACTGTTTCTGTTTTCAACTCTTGAAGCTATAGTCCATCATTTGCAGCAATCCGAAGAATAACTGGCGTCATTATTGTTGAAAAACATACTTGGTTGCAAGATAGTATTAGTAAGTGGACTAAACTCCCTGTGAAATTATTCTTTCTTGGGAGCTGTCATTTTGAAGTTATCTACGAAAGAAGGCCTTTCCAACAGTGCGTCTTAAGATGCACCGTAGGAAAATTTAAATTAGTAGTTCGTTTTGTTCTTCGGCGAAGTGCGCGCAAGCATTGGCACGACGCACACGCGCGCGCGGGTTGCTATAATTCGTCGGATCAGTGCACGTCATCGCGTATAGCTGCAATCGGCTCAGTGAGAACGTGTCTCGGACGCTGAATTCAGGCCCAATTCAATATATGACTCAGCAACTTTTGATCTGAAATTGAGATCCTAGAATGCTGTTTTTCTCGGAATATACAGCTGAAGCTGAGCTGAGCTTCATCAGGTTAGTTGTTCAGTATCCTTCATTAGATTGTTGCTTCAAACGAACAAAATGCACAAATTACAAATGATAGACTATATCTTTAAAGATGACAGAATCTGATGCAAGTTCCAACTTTTCAAAAGGATACAGTTGACATCCAAACACCACACCGCCCCCGTGTGTCCTTCATATGTGCCGAGGCGCTCCCCATTCAATGCAAACCATACGGTAGGGTGTATGTCCTTTGCGCAGGAGAACAGAAGGTCGCCCTCTGGGTTGTATCGCACACGAGTGATTGCGCGCTCATGGCCGTTCAGTGCTATCGGTTTCTGAAGGAAAAAAATTAAGCAGAAACATGAAAATAAATGATTAACCAATGACCAATGTGCTAGAAAAGGTGATCTCTGAATTGAAAATTAAGTGAAAAATTGTCAAATTTGTCGTGTTGGTGAGTAAAATAAAAACTTCACTAGCTGACTTACATTTTGTATGACTAGCTCCCAAACTAGGCCTATTTGAATGTCAGAATTATGGGGAAAGAGAAGGAAATCATGTGACATCCAGACATCTTACAAAGTCTATGGACATGATGGAGAGGCAAGAACATTTTCTAAGAATTTTCCTAACAAAATTGTAACTGTTTCTCAGTCCCAGACATGCCAGATTCATGTTTTGCAAATTTTTGGCAAACATTTTTGCAAATGACCGATGACTGACCTAGTTTTAATATTGCCTATTATTATATTAAAAGTCAATATGATTATTGGGATGACATGAAGAAAAAAGTGGCTTCAGGTTGCAACATTCTTTCCACCATGTCCACTTTGCCAAAGAGAATACCAGGAAGGATTAGGCCTTATTCCCAAGTAAATTTGGTAGGATTAGGGGACCTAGTCACATTTTTCATTTCAGCACGCGCGATCAGGCAGACGCCCGAGCTAGACGGGCAGATTTGTACAAAAAACATTGTATTAATTGTCATGATTGTCAGACTGTAGTCAGTCAATGTCAGTGGTGGCCATTTCCAAATTGCCGGCATGATACAGTTTCGAATCTGCAGTTTTTCTACTTAAACAGAAGCAACACAACGATTTTTTTAATCTCAAGGAATGTACAAATAGTTTAAGAACATATCCGCCCCACAAACGTTTCAAGATCCCTTAAAATAAGACAGGAATTCTCACCATATTGTTGAGTCGTGATGAAAGAGAAATTCGCGTTCGCCAAAGATTGCACATGTACAAAGGTATGGTGCCCTGAGCGCCTAGCCTGTGTACACAGTGTATGTACACGATGCACCACGCTGCAGGAACTCGTTCCTTTAGCACCCGCCATTCAACGTGACACTTCGCCCCCAATTACAAGGTAAAATTCGCCCCACTTTGGTAAAGGGTTTTTCTACGTTACTATACAAAGGGGCGGGGTCAGGGTTAAAAGAGGGGTGACATGAATTATTTGGAATTTTATATTTCCACGATCAGAGGAGGTTGCGCACGATGTGCAGTGATGTGGGGAAAAATCTGAAAAAAGTTTACCCATTTTCACCCCCTCCCTTTAGAAGTGTTGTCCTCATAATCCCCCCCCCCCCCAAAAAAAAAAAATTAGTGATAGGGAAATCCTAAAAAAAATTTTTTTTAAACCGTTAAATGAAAAAAAAAAGACTTAAGTTAGTAAAAATTGAGTATTCAAAAGACCACTGCTAACAAACGGAAAAGTGTTATCGCATTAACTTTGGCAGATATGATAACTCATCGTCTTCCCTACAAATAAAAACAAACAAATAACCAAACAATCAACCATAACAAACAAACCATAACAACCCAACAAACAAACAAACAAAGCTATTACATTCATTCCACTCTCTTTTGTTTGTGTGTATAAACTTGAAGATTGCTGGACGTAAATAAATTGATGGCAATTCTGTATATGCCTATTTTGACAAGTGATGAAAAAACCCAGGTTTTGCATTTAAAAAAGAACAAAAAAAGCTACCACAGGCAATATTATATAGTTTGGCAAAATTTCGGCCTAGCAGAATTGATCGGTGCCGCAAATTTGCCCTTTACATGTATTTAGATGCATGTTCATGCCCGACCCGGTGCCAGTTAATTGTACGGCGTTCTGATGATCTGACAGTGCTGGCACTTTCCAAATATCGGAATCGAATCCGTTTCGGCTCAAGCCAGCTAATACACCTTTTTCTATTCAGTGGCTTGTCCTTCACGTGAATTTAGGTGCACGTTTCAATTCAATATTTTGCAATATATATGTAGAATGTTTAATATGTGTTTGTTATCTTCTACATTTATGTGCGATGTTCAATATAAGTGTGCGATGTTGTTCATTATTTGCGCGATGTTTAATATATTTGTGCGATGTTTTACAATATATGTGCGATGTTCAATATATGTGTGCGATGTTTTACATTTATATGCGATTTTCAATTTATATGTGCGATGTTTTTGACGATATATATGTGCGATGTTTTCAATATTATGTTCGATTTTTGCATTAAATGTGCGATGTTTTTCGATACAATTGTGTGTGTTGTTTTACAATATATTTGCGATATTCTCAAATATGTGAGCAATGTTTTACATTATGTTTGACATTTCGAGCTATTTGTATTCGATGTTTCATCGGTATGTTTGCATTCGATCTTTTGCAATATGCATTTCATGTTTCCCTTTTCATTCCGTCGATGTTTCGTTAAGAGTCAAAATCTGGTTACTAGACCGCGAAAGTCTGACTATTTTGCCTAAAGTCAGTGTATGAGACGTCAGGGGATCGCGTAAAGTGATTAGAGCCAGACCTAAACGGTAAAAACCGGAATTGTGGGTAATTCTTTAAGCATACGCAATGCGTTCATCATTGTTTGGGCAGTACCCCCAGCTGTGCCTGTACTACCCATAGTGTTATGTGCATCATCTATGCATTGAGGAGTGCATGACACATGGTCTGAGCTCCAAGGCCGATGCCGTGCACCTGTCCCGTTTAATGATCCAGTTACCAGATAATTTGTTGGCATAAGCTGATGTAAAATTGGGCAAAATTAGATGTTTATGAAAAAAAAATCAAATTGTAAGGGGTTAACCTTGCATTTTTTTTTTGCAAAATCGGGAAAAATCAGATGTTCAAGTCTGGGAAATTGAAGATTGTATGGGGTTAGATGTTTATGAAACATTTCAAATTGTAAGGGGTGAACATTGCATATTTTAGCGAAATTGGGCAAAATCAGATGTTTCCGAAAAATTTCAGATGTAAGGGATTAACCTTGCTTTTTTAGTAAAATTTTGCAAAGTTAGATATTACGAAAAATTTCTAATTGAAAGGGGTTAACCTCGCATTTTTTTTAAAGCGAAAATGGAAAAAATCAAATGTTTCTGGAAAATTGCAGATTGTAAGGGGTTAACCCTACATTTTTTTTTAGCAAAATAGGACACAATCAGTTCTGGAAAATTGCAGACTGTTAGGGCTTAACCTTGTATTTCTAGCGAAATTGGGCAAAAAGAAATGTTTATGAAAAATTTTAAATTGAAAGAGGTGTACCTTGTATATTTAGTTAAATTTGGCAAAACCAGATTTGTATAAAAAATCTAAAATGGTAAGGGGTTAACCTTGCTTTTTTAGCAAAATTTGGAGCATAAAAGTTTTACTAAAATTGGGCAAAATCAGTTGCTTCTAAACAATCCAGATGTAAAGTTTCCGCAAAAACAGCTGTTGAAAAAGAGCCAAATGTTGAACTTTACTGAGTTTGAGGTCTATCGAGGGGACGATCCTTATTTCAACTCCCGGAGATTCGCTGACAGTCTCTATTTTTCTTTTTAAGAAAGTCGAAATAGCTGAAGAGGGAGGTGAGAATATATATGTGCCCAGATACAAAGAGTAGAAATCTACGCGTCTGCCTTTTGAAACTACACAATTGCGGTGTTCATTGTTGCGTAATGATCCGCCTGGCACACGACTGTTTTGCACATTAGGCTGTGTTATGCAGCTTTCTAACAAACCAAACACACTGGGCTCATTATATCGACTTGTTTGTACCTATTTAGGTAAAGCAAATGGACCCAGTAATCTTCCTGGCGCGTTTGCTCACCTATAAAGACAACTTTCCTCAGTTTAAGGAAAATTCTAAGGTAACGAAATGGCCGAGTGGTTACGATTCGTCGTTCACGGTTAGCGGGGTCCCGGGTTCGAATCCCGCTGGTGTCTTTTTGGTTTTTTTAGCGTATGAGTTCAATCATTTACTATAAGAGATTTAATTTCCCGTCGTAAAGTACCAACAGTACCTTAGCTTAATCGGTAAGCACTGCTGCTGGTACTGTCCGCGAGTTCCAGGTTGGCGCCTTCGTACAGGTTCAGGGCATGTGGTCCACTCGGAGGATCAGGGCTTAGGGGCCGCCCTGTTCCTCCCTTAGCTCTTTGCTTTTACATGGTGCCTGGCCCTTCGGGGTTATATGGATGGATAGGGAAGGAAGTGTGTATTGGTCGGGGACGCCGAGACCCCGGAAGAGAACTAAGGGATCGGCTGGGGCATTGTTATGGCTCAGACCGATCCCTGAAAGCTTGACTAGCACATAACTTTTTGATTTTTTTTACCCTCTATCTTTAATACTTTGGTTTAGTTTGATATCTACAGCTGCTCGGCAGGTCTACGGGTAGTATCAAGATTGAAACAAAGGTGTATGTCATAAATCAATGAATATTTCATAATTGTCTATAATCAAAACGGAGTTTCGTTTGATCAATTTAGTTTCGTTTGATCAATCATTATATAATGACGCGATTGCCAATTGACGTAAGAAACGCCATAAATTATACCGGGAAAGAATAAAGATGTACATTGTAATATAAATATTATTGATACATCTTTCAAATAACGTGTCTTTAATTGTGAGCATTCCAAACAATACAGTAATTCGCAATAGTAATAGAATGGTATATGAAAGCACGATCATTGCGTCTCTATTAAATTTAAAAAATATAATTTAGGCCCCTATGTGTGAAATATTCTTTGATGGACTATGAGCATTCCATACGAATGAGTTAATTCGCACAATATATCAACAACAAAAGAGAAAGGAAAAAGAGAAAATTCCTTTAACCTAAAAACTGGAAATATAATTTGTTATAAAAAAGTCAAATGGGACACTTCATGTATTGATTTAACAGTTTGCAAGGAGTTAGCCTTACATTTTTAGCAAAATTGGGAAAAATAAGATGTTTCTGGAAAATTGCAGATTGTTAGATGTTTATGAATCGTTTCAAATTGTAAGGGGTGAACCTTGTATATTTTAGCGAAATTGAGCAAAATCAGATCTTTCTGGAAATTTTCAGATTGTAAGGCATTAACCTTTCTTTTTTAGTGAAATTTGGCAAAATAAGATGTGTATGACAAAATACAAATTGTAAGGGGTTAACCTTGCATTTTTTAGCAAAATAGGGCAAAATCAGGTGTTTATGGAAAATTTCAGATTTTAAGGGGTTAACTTTGCCCCATTTTTAGCAAAATTGGGCAAAGTCAGATTGGTATGAAAAATCAAAAATTGAAGGGGTTAACCTTGCCAAATTAGGGCAAAATCAGATGTTTCTGGAAACTTGCAGATTGAAAGGGGTTAACTTTGCATTTTTAGCAAAATTGGGCAAAGTCAGATTTGTATGAAAAATCCAAAATTGTAAGGGGTTAACCTTGCCAAAATTAGGGCAAAATCAGATGTTTCTGGAAAATTGCAGATTGAAAGGGGTTAACTTTGCTTGTTTAGTGAAATTTGGCAAAGTTGGATGTTTATGAAAAATTTCAAATTGTAAGGGGTTATTAACCCTGCATTTTTGTAAACGAAATTGGGAAAATTTTCGGAAAATTGCAGAATTGTATGGGGTTAACTTGGCATTTTTAGCAAATCTGGGCAATATCAGATTTTTATGAAAAATCTCGAATTGTAAGGGGTTAACTTTGTTTTTTTTAGTGAAATTTGGCAAAGTTGTAAGGGGTTAACATTGCTTTTCTAATTGTTAGGGGTTAACCTTGCATTTTTAGCAAAATTGGACTAAATCAGATTTGTATGAAAAATCAAAAATTGTAAGGGGTTAACCTTTGCCAAATTAGGGCAAAATCAGAAGTTTCTAGGAAATTGCAGATTGAAAGGCCAGGGGTTAACCTTGCATTTTTAGCAAAATTTTGCAAAATGAGATTTTTATGAAAAATTTCAAATTGTTAGGGGTTAACTTTTGCCAAATTAGGGCAAAATCAGGTGTTTATGGAAAATTTCAGATTTTAAGGGGTTTACTTTGCATTTTTAGC